ATTTAACGATGAAAAAGCATATCTGATTAAACAGATAAAGGAGCTTAAGCCGCTGCCTGAGGCTTAGTAGCATAGAAGCCTATGTAGACGAATCGCCAACCAATATGTACAGCATAAAGTAAAACATCTACAACACAATTTCCAACACATTCAGCAAACCCAAAGCTACTATCACCACATCTACCGTCATTATCGGTGCTACCAACTCCATCCGTTCTGCACATTTAAGGCCTCAGCAGGTCCTGATAGCCAGTTTTACATCCGGATCACTGCATGCAACAACTTACTGTGGTAGATGGCTTACATATATGCAGTCGGCTTGTGTGAAAATTAAAATTAACTGAATGATTGATTGCATGACGGCAGTAATTGTGTACTGGCAGTGTGCGTTATAATTTAAAGAAAAAGTAATAAATAGTCAACACTTCATCGTTTTCGCTGCAACAGAAATAGAAAGAAGTTAAAAAGAATGAAATGAAAATGAAACCCTATTACAGTAAATTTGCAAATATTTTTATAAATTTTTATTTTACGAGCCCATCTAGCTGCTGCATTTGGAAACGATAGTTTATACTTGGGAAGTGTTAAGGGTGGAAACCAAATTTTTTTTAAAGATAAGATATTTAACACGCTGTTGCAAACGCGTTATTGTCTTGCCTTTAAAGAAAAAACTTTTGGTATAATATTCAACTGCTTTAAGACAAGTTGAGAAGAATGAAAGGCGATAGCTTCTAAGTATAAAACTTTGGGCTTGATTAAAATATAAATCGAGGACAAAAACAGACTAAATAAAATCAAATTATTAAATAGGATAATGATAAAATAAAAGAAAAACAAAACATAATACGACTTACATACATATATATATATATGTGAAGGCAACTTTATAATGCGGCTTACGATTGACACTTGTTTTTGTTCTTTGTCGTTATTTTGTATGTTTGTTCATTTTACTATGTTTAGGAATGCAATTCAAATAAAACTAGTTATTAACTGCGAAAAAGTTATATAATTGATTTCTTTTTACGATTCGATTTAAATAATAGGGTTGAAGAGCAGGTAAATGCGGAGAGCGAATGTTGCCTCCCCATATAACATAATCAGATGAATAATAAAGTAAAAATTAATAATAATCAAAACAAAAGAAAAAAACGCACGATACATACGCATGCAAATATACAACGTACGTACACCTAAGCATACATAAAAGAATGTAGTATGTAATGATTACAACCTTACTTGCATATACTATTACTATTAAAATATTATAATACAAGAAAAATTATTTATATAATTATGCGTAAAATTTAAATGAAAACTAAATAAAAAAACATAAATAAAATGTGCGATTAGCAGAAAACCTAAATATTGTTCGACTCATTTTTATACATTTATGTATGTACGCACCAATGCGATACGGATAAATTGCAATCACGTAATTTATTTAAAAAAATGATAAAGAATAGCAATGACCAAACCTAGCAGTTAAAACGTAACCATTACACATGGAAAACACATAAGCTACATACAAATGTATATGGTTTTATCATTGGTATTTGGGCAAACATATCTAGCATATATATATATATATATAACGTATATATATATATATGCAAATGGAGCTAAAGTATTTAATTTTTTATCTATAAATTGCTTTTGATAAATATTGATTAACACAAAAGAACAAAACAAACAGATAGAGTTAAAAAGTACTATAGAGAAGAAACGCAAGGGTAGCAGATACACGGAAGAAACATTAACTTCGGAAGAAGGCTTTTAATAATTACCGATATATCTTAAAAACATACACAAATTATTTTTAATTTTGATATTTATTTGTATGTTTTAAGAAAAATAAGTTCTATAATGTTTACAATTTAATCCTTGCGCAATTGCACCTCTTCTTCTGTAATTCCATCTTTCGTGATGACTTTCAAGATTACTGAATCACCAGTATATATATCACGTTCCGCTGCTGAAATGAATGCATCTTTAGCTACTTCCTTGGCCTTTTCCAATGGTACTTTAGGTTTGTTTTTTACGTCTCTATCTTTTCCGCCAATTTGATTGTCCAATACTGGCTGCAACAGCGTTCCGGCTGAGCCACCTGCGCGATATGTCGTACGCTCGCAGTGACCAATTGGATCATATGAATAGACAACACCTTTTCCTTCGGAGTCAAGTCCAGCCAACACATTTGAAACGTAGTAAGGGAAAAAGCGACGGTTGTACATAAGAATCGACAACATCTGTGCTATTGCTTCTGTTGACATGGTTTTCAAATGTAGATGTTCGTACATTTGCATTCGCGCATTAACCAAACTAGTGAGCGCTAAAGTATCACACCAGCAGCCCGTGGAACCCAGTACAGTTTTCTCCGATAATTGGAAAAGTTTATTTTGTTTTCGCGTGTGAATAGTGTAGCCACTGCTCAAACGTGTATCTGCAGCAATCACAACGTAATCTTCACCGGCAATAGCCACAATAGATCTGTAAATAACTTCGTTCAGAAAATTTATTATATGAAATTTTTTAAATACTTACCCCCCATTTGATTCGTATGGTGAGAAATCTTGATGTTGTGCACCGGGAACTTGGTACTCAGGAAACGATTGAATTTTATGCATTTTTACTCAAATGTAATATTATTCTAAGTAAAAGTATTGAATTTTAATTCGTGCAAGTGATTTGCAGAAATTCTTCCTTGCGTTGTCTATTGAATGACATTTAACATTTTTGTTTGACAGCAAGAAAAAGTACTGCCACTCTGAGAATACAGTGCTGCCACTATTAAATATAAACTGTTTAACATGGAATCTACATTCTCTGCGGTTTTATATCACAATATTAAATCTTTTAAATCATTTTGTTCATGGATAATAATATAAACCTTGATTTTGTTGTAGGTACGCTAAATATTATTTTAGAGCATATGACATGACATGAAAAAATTCCGTTCCCACGACAGTCGGGTCTACGTAATCGGAACGGACCGGATTTATTCCGGCCAAGGACTGTCAACTCGGCAGAATTCTGTCGCTACAACAACAACAACAACAACATGAAAAAATTATTTACTTTTGAAAATTAATGATCTGTAAACTACTAGGGCCGTTCGACAGCGTACATTTACGTTATTCTACGTTCTCTAATTATATATCACTAGGAAGTATGAAATACCATTATCAACACCCATATATAAAAGAAATTATAGTTGTATTATCAACTAATAGTTTATTAAAGCTTTTAAATTATTGCTTAATGACTTGATTATTTCAATAAATATATTATAACACGTTTAAAATATTATTTGGACATTAAGCATTAAGCGGAACCAAATCTGTTCGTCTGACCAAATTGCCACGATTCCTGTCGACCAGTTCCTTTACATTATTGTACCATACACCTAGAGATAAAATATAATTCTTAGTATTTAACTATTAAATTTTGTATATATTTGCCTTACCAATGTGAGTATTTTTCATGCAGTCTCCAAATGCTTCACAACCCTCCATGCTATTAAGTACACCAAAAACTGAGAGATCAGCTAAATTTGGACGGTCACCTCCCATGAATTTCTTTTTCTGCTTTTCAAGTTCTCGGGTCCACTTATCAAGTGCATCGTATATATGCGAGCGTACATCGTCTGATAGCCCATGTCGACGTTTTAGCATTTTACTTATACCCCACATAGCAAATGCACCCACATTTACCATTAGCTCACGTTCCCATTTGGGGAAGTAAATATCCCATTCGCCTGCCTTCGAAAACCATTCAAATGTTTCACGTGCTTCGCCTAAAGTACGGTAGCAATTAGGTGAGATAAGATGTACAAGGTGTGAATCTGCCCACGTACGCCATTTTCGTTCATTCCTAAGGCGTAGATATATAATGAAGATTTTCAATTATTTTATATGCAATGGCATACTCACTCCTGAATTTCTCGAGTTACATGTTTTGGTGTTTTGTCTTGGTACATAAGGAAGTATTTGTTCATTATGTCTAGACGTTTTTTATCGTCGTCATCGAAATATGATATCATGGGATAAAATTTGGCTAACTCGCCTATATCAGTTTCCTTGTCATTTAAATATGATGCCAATAGAGAGATAATTGCGCTTGAGTCCGTCATCTGTATGTAACGTCCATCCCCTTGTTGAACCAAAATCATCGGCACCTTCTTTTGTTCGGACCATTTTATGTCTTGTCGCAGCACTGCGTCAACCTCGACCACAGAATAAGATATTCCCATGAAATCAAGAAAAGCGCGCACTTTGCAACAGAATGGACACGTTTGATATTGGAAAAGTATTATGTTTAAATTTGAATTATCGTTGGGGTTAATGAATCGCTTAGTTATTCTAACATCTGGTAGTTCTTTGATAATTTTGGGTGGAATACGTTGGTGCTCCATGTGCGAACTTTTGTCTTTCCAATTTCCATATACAGAATATGCTGTACCTGAAGCGGCTCCAATGCCTGCTCCAATAAGTGCCAATTTAAAGGTGCTTGTACCATTTCTTTTTGGATTAATCTGTGATGTATAACGCCTGCACTGTGCACCAATTGATCGGCATGCAGGCAACACATTACCTTCAATAGATCGGCATCCAATGCGTGCTGCAATTCGTCGACTTATTAAAATTCGTAAAGTTGACATTACTGCTTTTCAATTAAATACTTTTATTATACAAATTAATTAAAATTTAATATGTTACTTAATACCGGTCCAAAATCTTTCATATGCAATACTTTTCCTTTGATAAGCACCAATCTAGAAATAACTTTCTTGATGGTCAGCTGATATGGGCAATTGGAGATGCCACTTTAACTGTTGTCATTTAAAGCAATATATTCACCATTACTGGAATTCTTACTTTCGTTTCGCTAATTTTTTCTTTTGTTTTGTTTAAAAAACTGTGAATTTATTGTGAAAATTAAGTAAACTTTCCTAAAAATTTATTCCCATTAAAGTTTTTATTCGTTTATTCCAATAATCTGTGTAAACTGCCAGTGTCAGTAAAAAGTTTTTTTGTGAAGAAGCAATTGCATAAAAATTTTTCATTCAAATTTTTGGCATTTTTATTTAATTTCAGTGTGAAAATATAGCAGGATAATTTGAGTAAATATCCGACGGACAGTTTCTCACTCCGATATACTAAGATAACGGTAAAATAATGCACATAACAGGGAAGGAATGTCGCAATTATTTATTACAAAAAAAAAATTTGGTACGTATAGGAATTTATAAGCCCTAGCCAAACAAAAGTAGTATATTCGTTTACAACATACATTTATATTTTTAAAAATTCATTTAAAAGCCTGTTCGTACCGTTCCGGCCTTTACTTATCAAGCACTGCAGAAGAACACAATTGTTGAACCACCACCAAAGTAAGTTTTAATCGAATGAAATTTTGAATGATTTTTCTTGAGTTTAATTCCAATCATCGTAGAATCTATATATACAAAAAGCGACCTGTTAAGGAAACACTTTTCAAAATGTATTTTCGTCGTGGTGACATACCGGTAGCTAAAAGAATTAAAGGTAGTGGTAAGGGCATTTCAGGAACAGTGAAATGGTTTTGTGAGCCAAAGGAACTCGACTATTGCTATTATTTGCCCATCTTTGTGGATGGGTACGTGTAAATATTCCATTAAGATGATATACTTTCAGCCTTTATTTATATGATGTGTGCTATTTTTATAATTCCAGTCTAGCTGATACTGATATTGACATACGTTCACTTGCCCAAGAAGCTGCAATGGATTTGATACTTAAAGCGCCGCACAAAATTTTACCAGTTCTACCTAAACTGATTCTTCCATTCAAAAGAGCATTCAATACTCGTGATAAGCGAATAATAATTTCAGCGCTGAAAGTCTTGCAAACTATGGTTCTGGTTGGTATGTTAAAAAGTGTTTTTTAATTGAAGAATTGCATTGTTAAATGCATTTTGCTCTAGGACCGTGTGTTGGACAAGCTCTCGTTCCATACTACCGTCAGCTCTTGGCCGTATGTAATTTATATAAAAATATTAATGTGAACCTCGGTTCCGGTGTTGATCCTGATCGTAGTCGCCGTATCGGCGATGTTATTGAAGATACACTCTCTTTGCTTGAAACATGTGGAGGCCCCAATGCATTTATCAACATTAAGTATATGATTCCGACTTATGAAAGTAGCACCCATCCCATATGTGAGCCGTCGGCAGAAAACCCTGCTGCTTAAAGCATAAAATATAAGTAGAGTTAGATTTTGATAGTACAATAATGCAGTTTACGAAAAAGCAAGAAGTTAAGCCATTTTCAAAATAATATTTTTTTTATTTTATTAATGGCTTATATCTTGGTTTACTTCTGAACAGTTAAAATATATATCTAGTGCGACATTATATTTTATATATAAACATTTAGTGCGCGTATTGTCATGAATACCTTTGCTATATTACCAAAAATAAATTCAAAATTTATAACCGTTAAAATGTACTGTTGATAGTTTGACATATTTGATACACCACTACATACATGTCCTTGTTAGTTGCTGTCAATTTTACTTTGATGATTTGTCAGGGTTAATATGTGTTATTGTTACTGATATGCAAGTAAATGGAAAAGAAGAAGCAGATCACATCCTAAAAAATAAACAAACATAAAATTTTGGAAACACTTCATCGATACAAACTAACAGCATTGATTATTTTTAAAAATGATCGATTCACTTTTTGAAAATGGCTTCCGGTTGGACAGATATAACAGTGAAGATCTGTTTAGCGCGCTGCTACGATATGGATTATTTCTAGGCGCAATATTTCAGCTCATCTGTATTGCTGCATCGATTTTGCTCCCTGCTGCTAATGAAGGATCCAATTGCGAAGATGGAAATGAGGTTTGTTATAATATATTATAATGGCAACCTGATTTTGAAATACGATTTTTTTTAAACTTTTCTTAAAGGATTATAAGTTCAATGGCGAAATGGGAAACATGCGCCGTTTGCACAAGTTACGCAAACAGGATAAAAAGAAGCGACGTTGATCTATCGTCGTGTGCAAATATTTCTAACTTAGAATGTTAACTATATATATGAGTACACAATGTAATTAAGATTTTTTTTACCGATAGATTGTCATGCAATATTTACGAGTTTAATTTTATATTTTAAACAGCAGTGCAGTTAAAACCCCTTTAACTCAATATATACATAAAACACTGTGACACATGCACATATTTGTATATTAACAAATTATATTACAGTACCAGTTACAGTGCAAAATTGCTTTTTTTTAAGAATGTTTAGATATATAAATTTCAAATATATTATAGATATTCGTACACAACTTCTAACTATATTGTAACACTACTCGAGAGCATACACACTCGCATTTAGCTCAAATTTTCCCAACGGCAGTATTACTTAGTCTAAAGTCAACTCCGGCGACAGTGTTTTAGCAGCACTTACGCCTGCACAATTCCAAAGTTAAACATGCGCTTAACATTCTTATTAATATTATTACACGGTCAGACAGGGAAATGTAAGTAAAATTATACAGTTTTTTGCATATATAAATTCAATTAAAATGCTTATATTTAGTGATTGTTGAATGTATTCCATCAACGGATTGTGGCGATATGTCTGACTGTGTTCCGGAAAGCAATGCTATATGTGCACTCGATCGGGAACTTGTCTGTTTTAAATATTTTGACTCCTTATGCCAACTAAAGTTTAAAGAATGCCAAAATCAAAAAGGTTTACAATACAATTGTAAAATTTTATTCCATATTTAAAATTTTCACTTATATTATTAGAGTACTCGGTTTATTCGCAAGCATACTGCCAAAATTCTGCGTTTATGTGTACCACTTAATTGGAGTTGTGGCAAGCAAGTGAGAAGCTGAATTTCTAGTTATAGCTCATGAATGGAAGTATGTGTTAATTTATTAAAAATATAAATTGCTATATGAAAAACTAAGAATTATTTTTGAATTACTTTTAATTATTTTTTAAGCTGCTTATTACACAATTTCAGGAGTCATATTAATTTAAAAGCGTAACGGTATAAAACTACGATTCATTTGTAGCTGTTCGTGACTAGTGTTTACATATATGCACACCTGTGTTTGTACGCTTGTGCTCTGTGCAAACTTAGCGGTGAGCGGTATTTTGTGATAAGAATATGCGGAAATAAATATATAAATAATAACATGCACAGCGAAAAAATATGGTCTCTAATAAATCAATAGGCGTCGTAAGTAATTCATATAACGGCAGTGCAGTGCGGATGGTTTGAAACAATTTCTACATACAAGGCTGTAGAGAGAAACCCGGGTATGATTGTAGAGAGTTGTTGGAGAAAAAAATTGCAAAAAATTGCTGTAGGGCCTCCACGAGAACTTCGGGCCTGGGAAGAATTGTCCCCGATCTCTTTCTATTTCGGTCACTTTCGTCGAATAAAAAAAATTTTCCAATTAAGGATTTGACTTCGATCGTTCAGTATGTATGGCAGCTATAAATAAAAAATAAATATTTCACATAGATAACTCAAAAATTGAGGGACTTGTTCGCCCATATACAGACAGACAGATATGGCTAAATCGACTCTGCTAGTCACGTTGATCACTTATAAGATCTCTGTCGTTTCCTTCTGGGTGCAATAAACTTTAAATTATAGATACTTTGTTCAAGGTATAAAAATCGGCTTACAAATAAATTTTAAACGAAGTCAGCATAAAATAATAGTTATAAGCATAAATGTCAGCAGAAAATATTTTTTCCAGTGTCTATTGATAATGCAAACAAATTATAGGCATGTATGTACTTTAATTAAATTAGCTTAACAATTTAGTTCTTCTTCAGCCGTCAACAGAAATATACGTTATCATTATTTAAAATATGGTAAGCGTAAAAGACGTGCTATGTTTATTACTAATGTGTGAGTAAAATTGTTTACTGTAAATCTTTATACACACATATACATACATAAATATGTACCCATTTAACATTCTAACAATTAATTTCAAAATGATAAAGGCTTTTTTGCGTATTATGCGGAGAGTGCCAGCATTGATGGGAATATGAAACCACAACCTGCTATAGTTAAAGGCCCTCCAAGTGTGGCAGGAAATTGTGATCTTGAAAGAAATTGTAAGATTAATGAAACTACTGTACCGTTATGTCGTTATGATGATGGTGAGGGTTGCATACGGAAATATGCATCGAAATGCCATTTGGATATAGCAGCCTGTGTGGCTGGTACGAGTAAGTAACCCAAAAGTTGTGTAGTTGAATAGTTTATAATTATGTGCATGTATGTAAGTTTTTATATCTAATCGTCAAAAAATTGTAGAATACACAGATTACAGCAACGATTATTGCTCAATGGACACTTACCTATGTGAGGAGGGCTATGAACGTTGGACGATATTCTTCGGATATGAAAAAGTTTAATTTTGAAATTGTCAAACAAGTGATAAGAGAAAAATACCAATTAATTTTGATGACTGTCTAACACAAAATTATGTACATAATTACCTATGTACATATGAATAAATAAACGGGCGTTCTTGACTATATTTATCATGAATGTCGATGAAAACTGCTTATAGATTATCTTCAAATGATATTATATTTGTACAGGTGAAGTCGCATTTCTCGAAAGAAAACCCAAGTGATGCCGTATTTCACAAATAGATGCCAACTAATTTTAAATTCTTTCTTCATTCCACTATTTTACTAATTAATTGTTTTTAATTAATTTCATTTTAGTTATAATAATCACTCGAATATTTAGTTTGTTTTTGTTGTTGTCGAATAACTTTATCCTCACTAACATTTTTTGTTGAGTTTTACGTTATGTTTGTGGTTGCTGTATTATAAAACACCCCCCAATGGGTTCGGACTGTGGTAATTACGATATATGATCTGATCAAATTTGACTCGGACTGGTAAGCCGAATCGTTAAAATGTTGTAAAAGTGATTTGGGGAGTCCTCTTAATCACGAATACAAATATTTGAGTGATGCAAAACATTCAGTGAAGGTCGTGAAGTCATCGAAAACTTGTTTAATGCGAGCCGTCCATCCACCTCGATCAATGACAATAACATTCAAAATGTTAAAGGAACAGGTTGAGAGATTGAAAAAGAGATCGTAGCTGAGGACCCGACGTTCATCAAACGCACCGTTACTGATGACGAGCCATGGGTTTATGAATACGACGTTGAAACTGTCCAACAGTTTAGCGAATAACGCTGCAAAAACGAGCCGAAACCGAAAAAGCCAAAATTCGGCACTGAAGGCTATCAAACCGAGGCTTATGACAAGTGTAAGGAAAATTGGATTAAGCATTGGCATTGTATTGGCTTAGGAGCCTATTTTGAAAGCGATAGATTTATAATAAAATGCATGTATAATGTATGTTTTTGTCAGTCCGGGTCAAATTTGACCAAAACTGGTCCAGTTGCATAAGTCCGAGCAGCCAAATCTCTAAAGATTTTAAAATTAAGAACATTATGAAATTATAAGTTGCTGAATTTAAAAGCCTTTGTAGTTTAGTTAATAGTGTTAGTCGACCTTGCAAAATTAGTTCGGGTGAGATCAGGTTAGATTAAGTTTTGGCTACTTTGATCTCTTCCATTTAAGTAAGTGACCGATCTTATAAGAGACCTCATTGAAAAATTATTCTGTTTTAGATAGTCTCCCAATATGTTAAAAAGGCTCAAAAGGCTAATTGAAGTAAACTTATGATTTTACGAAGATTTATGTTAACTCTTGGAAAACCGAACTATTTCAGATATTTATAGATAACGGTGTTTAAAAAGAGTATATATTAGTGAGGATTTGAGCCGACTATTTCAACTCCTTTCTTCAAGTTCAACTTCAGGCTTTAAATGTGAACTCTGGGATCAGTTAAGCTGTAGGCAACTGTACGCACATTATTATATATTTTATTATGACCTGAATATTTGTGCATTTAGTTTTGGAACGTGATGAACCGATAGGTATTGAGCGGAAAATGCTTGCGCCAATATTTTTTTTTTTGCAAACACATACATAAATATGTGCGTAATTACAGTTATTTTAGTGCAATGAAACTTTGTCACGTACCAATTGTTAATAAATTTTGTCAGCAAGCAAAAATGGCTGCCAGTTGATTTGTTAAGCCAGTGAGCGTTTAAACCAGTATAATGGTATTGGGTTTAGAAGATGTCTACTCTTAAAATTTCACTTCTATTGTTGGTGGCATGTAAGTAAATCGCCTGTAGCTTTTATTTGGGTTACATGAGTCAAAACAATTGCAGATTCAATAGCACTCATGCATGCACGTCCTAATGATAAGCTCTCTGCGCGACTCTCACTCCTCTACTTGGACCCGGAGAATGACGAACGCTTTAACGATATCGAACGTTTCAACGGCAACGAAGTCCAGTTTTCCGCAAGAAAAGATCTCTTGAATAAAGAAGCATTCTTACGCATTATGCATGTGTCCACCAACAAACCTGATGAAAGTGAGACACACACGCAAAGTGTCGATATAGAGGAGGGTCTAACGCGTTCGATGGTTTCTTCAATATTCAGATTTATGGGCAATGCAATGGGACGCTTAATCGCTAATTGTTATAAATAAATATGCTTCCAGTAAAAATGTCTTTTTGTTTGTACATTTTTTTTGGTTACATGCATAGATAAATGTCATAAGAAGTTTTTTTTTTTATCAATTTTCGAAAACAGTTTATTTGTTATGAAATTGGTTCACATTTTCCCTAGTAATATATAATAACATATAATGATTTCCAGCAAGCTATTAATGTTATTCCATATCTGTACATATATATCGGTCAATATCTGAGGCTTATTAAATAAAGTAGTATTGTGATTTCCCTCTATCTTGACGACTTTAGAGTGCTATATAGGATATTAATCATGTTATCTTAATGAATATAGTTAGTTATGCTACTTGAAAGTGATTCAGTTTCATTTTCAAACTTCCTTACTAATCGTGAATCTCCTAAATGTTCTTTTCTGTCTGAATAGTAATGTTATCCTAACCTTAACGGGTTTTATTGTTTGAAAGTATAAATACTTTTGGTTCAGTGTTCATTACGACATCTCTATGGAACTACTTCGCGACGTTATGCTCTTTAAAGACTAATTACCTCCTTTTTTCTTTAAATAAACTTAAAGAGTAACTTAAAATCAGAAATGCTGACTATTACAAGCTACTGTAATCTAGACGTCCACCTACGACTACGCGAAAATAGAGAAAATTTCTTTGAATAACCTGCCGTTAGAAAACCGCGAAGAGTTGTAAGATGTTTAATACTCAGAAAAAATCAAGTTCACTTCTTACATGAGTTCGACAGGAGGATCTGCGATGAGTTCGAGGTCATTTGCCACGAGCGCGCTTAGTCACGGGCAAAATGTATTGTAAAAGTCGTAAACACATTTACTTTGTGTGTCTACCCTACAAGAACAGTGACAGTCATCTGACCGGTAATTTGACAGTCATAGCTGAAAAAATGTGTATGCATATTATATTTGAAAACTCCTCTCTTTAATAAAAATGTGTATTTTTAATACCAAACCCAAAAGAAGCGTGCAACACTTTTCGTTTGTGGCAAGAAGAACAGTAAAAATTGTTTTGTGCAGTTGTTGAGTAAAGGATTCAGCAATTTCATTCTTACACATGTAAGCAATATGATTCGAAGATGTCTTTGGTTAATAACAGTGACAAGTAAACTGTCCGTCAGTACTGAAATAATAAATGTGAGTGTATTAGTGAACCCATCACCTTCACCCAGCAGCTTTTTGTAGGGTTGTAGGGTATATAGTTCAATACATATATATGTACATATAAAAATACATATACTCAATATAGGTATAATATATTTAAATTGTTCAAATGACTGTTTATAAATTTTATCAACCAAATATGTGAATCGAATTTATGGACAAAATTCTCTATATGTAAATTTTCCAGTTAGGCAATAAAAGCCAGTGAATTCAAGCTTTATTACCGCGTTACAACAAACATTAACAGTTAAATATAACAATTCGATATCAATCATGGGAAAGAGCTTAATATTGACACGCACGAATATTATTCTCTTCCGAATAGTTTAAAGTAATTATTACTATTTTTTTAAATATGTATGTATATACTTAAATATATGTATAAGTATATTTGTAAATTTAGTGTACTAGTATGTAATTTCCAACTTAGACTAGGGATAGGAAAGTCGACTCTGACTTTGGTCAAGAATCGATCTTTAACTTAAAATAATCGACTTTTTAGAATCGAGTTTGAATGCTTCAAGTCACTCACTCGATGACTTTGACTTTTCTGTCAACACATATAACATTCGATGGTAGTACAGTTTGCATCGTTTTCACGTACCGACTCTTTTATACGGATATATAATTGTTTAATTTTTACAAAAGTCGACTTGAGAGTCGACTTTTAGCAATGATTAATCGACTTTAAGAGTCATATAATTCCAAGTCGACTCTAACATCGAAAGTCGACTTTTCGCGCGTTGTTACCATCCCTAACTTAGAAGTTAAGTAAAAACAAGTTAGCTGTTCTTAGTGGATTTAAAATTATACGGTCCCAATTAACCATTTACGTAAATAGAATTTAATATTAAAGTGGACCACCATTAAGGAGGTTGGGGTTCAATCGTGTTAGGGCCTATTTAATAGATAATCTTGGTTATCCATAAACCAGTGGTCGGGTATTCATAGCACAAGTTGCAAGTTAACTTCACGCGTACGCTTACGCTCTGTCTTTAATTTTGTATTTACAGTCGCAGTTTCTCTTATGTCGAGCATTGCCATAGACTTTGGCCTACTACAGAATATTGTCTCTTTCTTCTACTCTCCGCAACATAGTTACTTTTTAAACTTTTAAACTCACAAATGGTCTACGAATTGTAATAGTTCAAACAGTCACCGACGCAAAACTGTAATGTAATGCAATGTAAATGAACAGCTTCTACCGTCCGCTTCAACAGACCGTACGATCAAGGATGGCATGATGCGAGACACTCTCATTTTCCTTAATTTTTCTGTTATTCTCTTTTCTTTTTATATATATACGTATTTAGGGATGTATATGGGTTATATAGGTCTACTCTAAATACTCCTAAAAATAATAACGCAATGCAAAATACCCAAAAGTTAATTTTAAACTACCCAATCCTTTTTCTTTCGACAGTAGCATGATTGACAAATATTATATTATAAAAAATGGGGTTTCGACAGCTCTCTCTCGAATCAAAGAGTTTCGCATCATTTCATCCTTGGTACGGTAGGTAGGTAGGTTAGATTTTTTCCGTAGAAACGAGTGAGCTGAGAGTGAGAGAGCAATTTCTTGCAACGCAGGGTTGCCAATCTCGATATTTTATAGTAATTAAAAAATGAACTTGAATATATTTGAAATTTTCTTAAATAACTCAAAATCACAAAAATTATAACAAAAACTAAATGTGTGAAAAATCTTGTATACAAAGAGAACATTGGCAAGATTGGTGAAATGAAATCAAAAGAGAACAACTGATTTCTGCGTTGACAAATTTTGTTTAATACGGGCGGTAAGTACGGAAGGGCGGAATGTCGGTGACTGTTTGAACTATAAGAAATAGCAAATAAAGGATGAAAAAGCTTATATATTTTATTTGCATTATGTTGGCAAACACTATTTCCGAATCAGTTTCGTACCGGCACCTTTTCCCATGAATAAAACATAAACTGCCAATTAGCAGTCAGTTCTATTTAGGTGCATAGATAAGTACATATATATGTACACACAACCGACGAACATATGTGTACATATATATCAGTAAAACATAGTACAAATGTTATATTTTCTACTTACAAGCTGCTGTGGTATACTCAAGGCTGTTGTTTAATTGGCAACAATGCAGAAATGTCTTTACTTCGTCATTTACGAACATACATATGGTTCTTTCCATCCAAAATTTTACACTCAAATTTTTTTTCGTGCGAAAAACTTTTTTTTGTGTGATTTGAGGCAAAATATTTTTGTATTTCGACTCAATGTGAAAAATTTTGGTGTTATGAATTTTAAACATTTCAACTTTTTAACAAAAGTACCTTTAAACATTTGCGTATAAAAAAAAAATTGCATATAAACTATTTGTTTATAAAAAAATTCGAAAAAATTCAACATATATATATCTGATTGGAAAGCTGAGAAAAAATCGTAAAAAGGTGGCCGGCTAGTTATTTTTATAATGCAACCCTTTTCTTCGTATACGCAAATGATTAAAGGTACTTTTTCCAAAAGTTGAAATTTTGAAAACTTATAACTTCAAAATTTTTCATATTGAGTTGAAATAAAACAATACGTGTCCAATAACAAGAAGAACAAAAAAGTTTCGCATGAAAAAAAATTTTTAACATAAATTTTGGATGGAATGACTCATACGTATATGTACATATATGCACATATGTATGTACATAAATTATAGAAATAAACAAAAACTATCAGATTTTGGATGACAACTGGTTTCAGGGAAATTTTTTCTGTGTGTATGTCTTAGTTCGTTTGGTAAACAACTTTGTGTCATATCGCGTGATTTAAAAACAAATAACAAAAACAAAAAGCATTAAGACATGTATGTACATATATGCATATGAACACTTTTTCACCCGTTTACTCATTTAAAATGTTAATTAGTATGTGAAAATGATGTTTGCTTCAAAGTTTCCTTATTTCAGAAAAGAAAAGGTTTGTGGAAAATTTCCTTTACCTTTTGTGAAAATAATTAATGGTGGTCTAAGATCGACCATGTTAGCTTCCTGAAGTTGTATGCACAAAGAGCTTGACATTTTAAGAAACCAACAAAGGCGAGTACCGCGCTTCTCCCATTCACAATTTTACTAAGATTTTCTCACGTTCTCATGAACTGTCTTTATTTTCATAACCAAAGACTTTAACTAACATTTTTAAAGATAATAGATTCCAATAACTTTCCACTTCTATCTGAATCCATTCAAAGGCAGGATAAAGGATACAAACAGGATATAAACGCTATGAATACGTATTTTTTTCTAATTAAGGAATATTTCTTGTTAAAATATATATTCCCGCCGTTGACTTCGAATTTTCTGTAGGAAACACTAAGTAAAGAATTAGTGTAATGTTTATTTATCTAAAACAATTTCAGACGTTCGGTTTAATAACAACAAATTAAGTCCGAAAAATTAGCACAATAAATAAAAAAATATATATTTTCAAATTGAAAAAAATATATCCACATATGTATATGTAGATTATACAAGATACTTATAAATTTTGGTTCCGACTCTTGGTATTCAACTAATCGAATAACGGGATAGGGCAGTATTCGAATAATAATATTCGGTTTGCACTATCCAGATAGTCGTAAGGTGTCGACTATTTAATTAACTGCTCATTTTAGACTGTTTGTTTAACCGTTCGTTGTCGACTATTCGGAGCAAAAATTCAAAGGAGCAAAAATCAAAAATTCTTTAGGTACAAAAAGTTTCAAATGTGGTGGTTAAGCACTTTCGATTTGCTTACAGATTATCTTGAGACCCATGGTAAAAATTTTGGTACGTGATCTTACACTACTATATCCAAATATACTCTCTATAATTCTCGATATATTAGGCCTCAAGGCTTAAACAACTTTAAATCGTTCCTATAGTACAATATACAGAACTAAAACATCAGCCTTTGCTAATAGGATACTCGTAATAAAAGCTTTGGCATTTCTTTATTCTATTTTAAATATGAGAACATTGTTTAGAGTCAAGTTTGATTGGTTATTTGTTGTTTAGTTTATAATTATTGCCTACAAGAAATCCGCTTAAGTCTATGTGTAGTGATAATTTGAATACATTTGTTTAACATTTAGATTGTGATGACATTGCAAATAATTTATTAAAATATATATTAGAGTAGGCGAGACCGTAGTCCTTAGCAAAGCCTATATGCTGGATGAGTTTTTCGTTCGGCTAAATCACACAGAGACATATCTACCGTTTCGAGATCTGAAATGAAAAAAATTAAAATTTACTGAGTGTATATAGGGTATTTTTTCAGTGAGACAGATTTTCTTAAGCGATTTTTCAGAGGCATTAAGCTGAAGTTAGACTCAACGTCAAAGGAATGTGTAAATAATTTAATTGGACGATAGGAAAAACTTTGGCGACCGAATTTGAGATCCAATAAAATCAAATTAACGGTATTTTCATTCATTGTTTTGTATTTTATTGGAAATCATACTTTTATAGCACTGACTCCTTTTATATTGTATTGCAACATTTGAACTTATGATTTATAGCTTATTGTTTATTTAGTATCGAACATGGATAAGTTCTAGCGTATGTCATATACAACACTAGGGTTCGACATTAGTTTCCAACCAATATGATCTTTTTTTTCGAAAAGTGATTGGCCCTCTACAGTTAATGGCAAACCTTCAGGTGTTCATACATGTAAACACTTCGTCAAAGGAAAATAATGTTGATTTATATAAAAGCCAAAATAGAGATAATACTATGTATAGTAATTTGAGAAAGGTTGTGGAATTGAGGTAAATATTGATATGATTTCTAGTTAGAAGAATAATGGCTGTTAAACTATTAAGCAGTTGAGGTTGGCTTGCGTTTCATATTAGTTCGATATTGAATAGCTTTTTTGGGATCAAATAAATTAAGAACTAGAACTGATTTGCACTATTTTTAAGTGGCTTGGGAAGACACAATTGTAGTTCTGTGAGGAAGTAGTTCGGTCACAACTTTAGTTCACGACTGCCTCTCAACTCACCCCACAGTTTTTCTGTTGTGGTCAATGAACTAATGTTTTCTAATAATACATATTTTCAACTAGATAAAATAGCTTATCAAAAAAATATCGGTATTAATCTGACATTTTTTAAAATATTAGGTCGAGTAAAAAGTTCGTTCGGTTTTTATCTAAGAGATGGCGTTATTGTCCATAGTACATCGGGAAAACACATATACTGCTATATAAATATATATGTGGAAGCAAAGATTCATCAAAATTATATCGATAAATTAAATCCTTATATTTTGTGTGAACTTATTAGAGGCATCAAAGGTTATACATATTTTAGTTAGCCGAGAAATGAATTTGACTAATTCGGTTTCCCTTGAAAATAAATATGAAGTCTAATGGGAATAAACAATTCAACAAATATTTGTTTTTCTCTTTATAAAAGTAAATAATATTTAGTTTGAACTGCAACAAAATTTTACTCAATGGCTTCAAAAACACCTCCAAATTTTATCAGCAGCAAACTTTTATCCGAAGAGGCTGTTCCAAGATACTCTTACACGCTCACTTGTTATAATTAATATTATTCACAAAAAAAAAATCATAAAATTCCGTTGCTTTCGGAACTACTTACTGTGCTTCGTGGTACATTTTAATCGGTCGTATAGACATTTGTTGTCAAATCTAGCATAACAAGTACTGTCATAACCACAAACAAGATCGCGTGTCGTGGGACATTCTTCGTTGCACTGTTTCGGCTTCGATTGTGTATCTGCACTAGCCCTTGTGACAAGCATGAGTACTAAAATTAGAAAAATTATTTAGTACTCGATTAATAATTAAATTAGAATTATATAATTTCATGCTTCATTTTTACCCATTAACACATAGATAAAAGACACTTTTGTAGTTGTATTCGCCATTTTTATTTCAAAGTAAAAATCACTGTTATTGTTTTTGAAACAAGTTTTAATTATGTCTAACAATTATGCAAATCCCGCTGGCGCTGCAATCTGCCTGTCACGGAATCTCTTATTCGACTGTTTTTGCTGCGTCGGCTTAAATGTTCTCGCTGGCGATGCGAATTTCTATCCCAGTTTCCGTTATAAAGTTGGATTTTGCATAAATAAATGTACATATAAATATATACATATATGTATATATGTACGTAACTAACAGTATAGGCTGCGTTTCACAGTAGGTCCTCAATAAAGTGAACTTTTATGATAAACCCAAGGAAAATGAGCTGATTTTTATATATAGTTGTATCTGTATTCATATTTATATATATACTCAGTATAGTTTTAAATATAAAATATATTATTTTCAGCAATGACAACATTTATGGATATTCAATTAAATTTTTTTGAACTCACTAGCTTATAAAATAATTTAGAGGCAGACAATTATCAAGGATTGTTCAGAAAATCGATTATTTAAAATTGGTTATGAACAATTATTCTAAGAAAACATATTTTTATGTTTAGCTTTATATAAGAATTCACCGTATTTGGCGCCATTGAGCTAAGATTATCATTTAAAGCGCCTGTTACGTACATACATACATCACGACCAAGCTCCACAATATACATACATACATATGTATATGCTTATTTGTATTTATACATAAGTATGCACGTCATTGCAAATACTAATATAATTTCTCTGATAAGTATGTCCATTTTCTATGAAATATGTACATATGTATATATGTATGCATACAAATCGGTGTATGTAAATACAGATAGGAATATATATTGAAATAGCAAATATTCATACTATCATTACGCTATGCAAACATATACACAAGTATACATATAGAGCTATGAACAGTGTCCACATTGAATACTTGGATCATATAAGGGGCGTTTTTGGATGCTGTCTACGTGGCTCGTGGACAAAAGTGATAGCTAAATAGCGAACATACATATTTGCAGGAATTCTCCTAAGTACATATTCATCCACAAATATAATATATACATATGTACATATGCCCATACATATGTATATGTGATCATTCATACAATCGGTGAATTTCTAACTTTTGCATCAGCAATTTACATATGTAGCTTTAGCTATGTACATACATATGTAAAATTATAGACAAATATCATCGCTTTCAATAGTAAATATTGATAGTTGCGTAGACCGTGGTTAGGGTGATTAATTTGGTGAGGAATTTTAACTGAAAATAAGTACATTGTTTGAATCCCAAACATAAAGCAATTATTTCAACAAATTAATAAGTGCAACAACTTTTAGGGAATAGTTTTTTTTTTTAGTAAATAGTTATTAAGTCTGAGTACTGAAAAATTTAATAATAATCTGCCAAGCCACAATTATAAAAAATTCTGCTGAACGTATCATTTGTTTCCGAGTAGTCACTAAAGCAAAATTGACAAATGCTGTTTTGAGAAAAACGCGTTTATATACCAGCCATCTTAAACTTAAATGACCTACAATTTATCGCTTAATGATCGAATGAATAATTATTTAGTTTCCAAAAGTATGGAATATTTTATAATGTGACAATTATATCAAATATCTTTGCTGTAATTGAATATCGATAGCGTCGAATCGGACAAACAACTAGCATGAAACAAATATACCAGCATAAAAACAGACATGGAGTTAAGAAAATTTATAGGTCACTATAATAAGTTACAAAAATTTGATTCAACTGCTTTATTTTGGTTTTGTATTCACATAGAAATTTGTTGATAAGAGACCACAGTTCAAATGGAGTGAGTTGACAAATAATGATTTTAATATGACAGGTCAGGTTTTCCATACTCTTTGAAATTACATTTCGACGAAACATTTATTGTGTGAGAAAGTGTATATTTTCAACTATGAGATAAGGGCTAACCAGACTAAGTTTTGTCCATGTTTTTCTTCAATGAAATTTATTGGAAAAATACATTTTTTTGTTCGTCACTACCGGCAGTTTAAATCGGAAACAACTCGCTTTACTTAGCCGACACACTTATGTAGTTGAAATATAGGGCGTTTGCTTACATACAAACATATAAGCATATATTAAATGCACGTACACATATATACATATACCAGTGTATATTTGTATGTATTTGGTTTTGCATTTCGGAGCTTTTACGCGGTAAACATGTTTGTGAATATACTATGCATAGTTCTTATACACAATACTTTGCACATACATACATACACATTTACGTGCAGACAAACGAAAATACATATTCCTTGCATATGTCATCGTACTTGTTGATATTTTTAAATGCTCGCTTCTTTGATGCCTCCGTAGGCTTCGTAATTATACAAGTACACACAAGAAGATACGAGTGCAGCTAAAAATAAATTGACTTGAGCTATAATTAGCGCTGCAAAAAGAGTAATTAAAAGAAAAGTAATCAAAGAGGGCATATTTATGATCGCAAACATCAATTTATACTTAGCTTTATTAAAATATTTATCTACATTAGGGTGGTACCTATTTTTAAGCTTAAAAAAATTTGAAGCCTATGACTATATGAAGAAAATATATATCATTGTTTTAAAGTTTTATTGGTATACTTATACATATATTTAATGAATACACAGTAAAACTTTTGAAAAAAAATAAAATTTTTTTTTGAGTTACACCTGAATGCTAACAGCGCTAAAAGCGGTTTTTTACTAGAAGATATTATCCGAATCCAACATCGAAAAAAGATCAAACATTTATAAAATGGCAAAAATGGTAATCACTGCAGCAATTTCAAAATATGCGTTCAAAGATAAACTGAGTGAATTTTTCAATTAAGTAACTGCACTATAGAAGCCTGTAACTAAAAAAATACTTGCAATATTAGTTTAAAATTTTAGTATGGTATTTTTTATACATAGATCTGCCGTTTAATTTGAAGTATGTTCGTGTGACATAAGCAAGGTTATACTTCCATAAAATTCTCTCCAAATAATATTGTCTATGCATATATGGGTATATTGATGATCTTTTGACAATGTACAAATTTTCAAAGGAGACCGCTGTATCGTTTGTTTATATAAAATAAATTGGCTTCTCATTACAATTGGAAGCAATCGGGTTATTATAATGTAATTTCGAATGATATTTATAAATAATGGAATATATGAACCTTTATTTTAATTATAATTATTTATACATAGTCACTTATATTTTATACATGAGCATGCCCGAATTAAAAATAAATATTCTTAAAAAATTAGTTTAAAATTTCTTTAGTATCAAAAGTTGTGGTGACGAATAATATATTTTTTACTTAAAATAGCAATAATTATAATTTTTGTATAAAATATTTAGCATTATTTTTTTAATTTTTAGTGAATTAAATGAAAAAGCAGCCATTTTTTTATTGTCGTTTGATTTTTTTTATTATTTCGTCTATCAAAAAATGTTTAGAAAACTTTTAAAAAATTATAATAATAGAAGGAGGATTTTAGAAAGGAGAACAAATTTTGATTTTTTTTGTAGATACAATTGACAATAATAAAGTATTATTAATTTTGAGGCGATATAAATATATTTGATTTTTACCGCTGACTCCAATTAGAAGAAAACAAAAATATAAGTACAATGGCGTGCTTTTTTTCATAAAACGAAGAAAATTAAAAGTTTTTTTACTAACACACTTCCATAATGAAACTCTTCATACAAAAGACTTAAGCAACGAACTTAAAATAACTTCAGCGCATCTATAAATTTTCGAAGATATTCAACAGCTCATCATCGCCAACAAAAGTAAGACAAATTAGACTGCGCTGACTCCACCCGCAAACGCCTCCTAGTCAACTTTGTTGCAACATGCGATATTTAAGCAATTTCCAAGACAGAACGCTCTGGTTCAGCCCCTCGCACAGCCGCACCACACAGCCTTTAAGTAAAGAAACCACAAAAGCACAAATAAAAAATTATAAAAAAAAAATAATTTACTGAGTTAATTAGCTACAAATATTAAATTAAAAATTGTTTTCAACGCATTAACTGGTTCTGGCCGAGTTCAGTGGCATCGCATGGCACGGCAAACACTTCAACTCGTTTACGCTCAAAGCGAGCGCAATGCATACCAAAGCGTTTACAACAAATAACGATCTACGTAAAAATTAATTGAAATATTTTGAAAGCAAAGAGCCGATTTATAACCAATTCTATACACTAATGAACCACTGACACACTAACCCACTAGATATTTGATAACTCGCAGCAAAACCATAATTGAACACTGTAAAAATGTTTCTATTCAAACTAATTTTTTTGTTAAATATCAAATTGATTGTTGTTGTAATTATGTCGTTTTACTAAACGCAGCGACGCGTTAATCGTCGTTCAACCGCTCAAGTTGTTTACTCGCCAAAGTTCAGAACGCAATTGAACGCAGTATCGAAATGCAACGTTGATCTTAAACGAAAAGCACGAGTGTGTAAGCAATCAGCAACAACACTGTGTTGGTAGGCGAATATTGCAGGCTATATTTTCCAGCTGATTGCCTTTGTTGCACCAGCAAATTTGGCTGTTTTGTTGGCCGACAGTGGCAGTGGTAACGGTAGTTGAATTTATTTGCACATTCCCACATTCGCTAAGGAGCTTGTAGGTCGTGGCTTTTTTGCTGCTTTATGAGCAGCGGTACATACACTTACGTACAAACATATATGTATGTATGTATGTGTCTAGTTTCATGTGTTGCACACGCGCGTTTATTCTTCCATGAATGCAACTAGATTTGGTTTGTTTTTGGCCACTAAAGCACACACATCTATGCATACTCGTATATATATAAGTACTCGAATGTAAATAGTCGTATTGTTACATACCCACATAACCACATACATATACACACACGTACTTATGCATATAAGGTATATAAATATATATATTTGCTGCTTGTTTGCTGATGCAGAGGACAATATTCTATAGTAGACGCTTTGATTAATGGCCTGCTTAAGATGATTGAGAGCGTGTCTGCGCGTGATAGTGTTGGTAAATTCTAGCTGTAAATACTGTGTGTTCGATTCTCTTGAGAGTTTGTTAAGCATTTAATGCCATCATAACTTCTTTACTACATTCGAATAGAATTTAATATTTAGTAACACATTACCTCACTCGCTTTACTTTAGTAATTCTTGTGTTTCCAGCTGAACCTCTTAAAATATGTTTTTAAAAAATTATTATTTTATAAATATATTTAAATAAAAAATATCTATTTACACTTCGGTTATAATGTTATTCGATCTAATAATCTTACTTATCCTACACAAGGAGGATCCTTCTAGTGGGTCAAACTTTTTTCAGGAGTTACTTGTAGCAGAACTAAACAGTTTTTGATTTTCAAAATGCTTATTCCTTTGATGTTCTCTTTACTTTATACAAATCCTGTGATTCTTTAGATTTATAATCATACAAAAATTACTCGTTTCTTTGTTATTATATTTGCATGTTATTTTAATAGAATTTGATTTCTCATTAACATTATGATTTTATGTAAGTCCCAAAATATTCACCTTAATTTTAACTCAAAATGATTGCTTCCCACTTTAGCACTTTAAGCATTTTAAGTACTCGATTTTGATCTATGGTGTTGTGATGTAGAGGGTCAAAGTGAAGAGAGTAGAAATCGATCCACTGTTATGAGATCATGTTGTTCGGTGATTAGTACACATATACACTTTAAAACTTCGTGGTTGAAGGCGATACTTTCCCTCATCACATTCTGTGTAGTTCGTAACAGTAATCAAAAAAGCCTTTAGATAGATGTGGTCAAAAATGACTAGGACTGAAAAAAACTTCCACCCTCGCGTATCTTAAAACAAATCTTTCATATCACCTTCAAGCGTCATTCGCTAGATTCCTGAACAATTTCGCCGTCATATTTATAAACTCATGCCACCAGTAATGATGCGTTTGATGCATTCCCAAGCATCTCTTTTGTGACCTCTATTCGACGTCGTTTTTGCAAAAGATTCAGAATTAGCATTGACATGCTTTACACTCAAAACATTAACCAAAATGTGTTGAGTCGGTCCGTAAGAGATGTTGAGATCCTCTGATGTTATCGTCATTAAGATGTGGATGGACGACTCGCATGAGGCAAGTTTTCGATGACTCCGTGACATTCACTGAATGCTTTGCCCCACTCAAATACTTGTGTTAATGATAGTGTAGACTCCCCAAAACACTTCTAATATTTTCAATGAATTTCAAGTAAACTTAAAGTTAAAAATTTATTCATGGTAAAAACTCCAGACTTTTGGTTAGTTACACAACACTGGAAATGGTAATTAATTACACATTTTCGGTCTACAGCATTCCTTACTGTCTTATAGGTTCCTGCTTGAAGATATACATTTATTTGTTCAAACAGCAGAATTTGTTTTTGCTCAAAAGGTGTTGTATTGTAGATATGCTAATGGATTGCAGCTGCGGCAAATTTTTTCGATACAGGAATTGGTGTCACTTTACCGATTTTTTTCTACATAAGGCATTATATAAATATAAAAGCACATGTTTTTTAAATCTTAGCGATATATATATCAACCAACTTCTGATACTATAAACGGATAATAATGGCGTTGGACAAAACCGTTAATAACCAATTTCGGCTAATAAAATTGAGTGCTTGCTAATTTCGATTGTAGCGTGTTGGCTAACGGTAAAGGTATCACTCACAGACGCAGAGCAACATATACATGCAAGTATGAAGTGGGCATGAGTAGCAGGGGCAACATACTCGTGCACATGTTGTAACAGTGACATGTAGTGGTGCGCACGTACAGAACATTATACTTGCAACAACACAGAGAGTGATGTGCATATGCCTAATTGCTGCCATACAACCTTCAACGGTCACTAACGGGTTGCCGCATGCGCAGCCACGGTACTGGTGATCGTGAATTTGAACAACTTTGCGCAGTTCGTTGTGGCTTTTAATACAACAACCTGTCGTGGCAACACAAGTGTGACGTGTTGAGTGGAAATTGTGAGCACTGTTTGTTTGTGTGTGAATGGCAAAAAATGTTATTTGCACTTCATTGCTAGCTAACGAGTCGGTTTGTCGACTTTTTGTTGTTGTGCTCTATTGACTTCTTGCTTTAGATGCATTACGCAATTTGGTAGCAATAAACTTCAAGTTGGCCATTTTTGGCAATTTCCATGTTAATTTTTTCAATTTTTCCATGACTGTCGAAGCAGAACGCTGGCGCGGCAGCAAGCGAATGGCTTTAGATAACGCAGTTGTCGCAGACACGAGATATTCCGATTACGCAATGGACGTTGCAATCAATCGAGCAGTTCACCTTCACGCAGCAGCACATTTGACTTGTTGTTGTTGTTGCTTATCTATTTATTTACTTTTGTCGTTTCGTCTTCATACCAGTTGGCGCGGCGGTTCAATCAATATGTCAGTATGTATGTATTTATTTACTATTTTAGCAACAAATATGAGTGTATGGATGTGTGTGTGTGCGTGTGTATTTACTCGCACATTCAGTTAGTTTAGAGTTCATGTGACTACTAAATTAATTATCCTCCACTTTTATGCAGCTCTGCCAATTATCCATGGATAAGCAATTATGCAGTAAATAACGGTAAAGTACATATGTATGTATGTGTGCGAATGCATTAAATTTTTATGTGCCCAAAAAGTGGCTGTAATTGAAAGAAATAATTGACTTAATGAAAACGACTTGAAATTGCTTATATTTCGACTTGTTTAAAACAGTTCTGCGCTGAAGATAATCTGCTGCAATATAAAGATTAACTTTCAGAAAGCAATCAAATCTTTATATTTACATTCATAAAATCTTAGGCACGAGCGCGATTAGAGGATCATAAATGTGGACATGATGCTCGTAATAAATTTACGCAAACCATCGTTTCTTTCAAAATATTAAAAAAAAAAAAATAAGGAAGAGCCAAATTCGGGTGTAACCGAACATTTTACACTCGTGCAACTTGCAAAGATCAAAGCAAAGGAAACACTCTCAGGTTTTAGGAAAACTTTATATTAAACAAGTTAGTTACTTACCTAAAATCATATTCAAATGAGATAGAGTTGATGTGAATACGTCAAGCAGAGGATCGCAATTCCTTATTTTAGGATTATTTATTTTTTATTTCCTACACAATTTTTAAGAAAACTTGTTCATTTAATTTTATTAAAGTATCACACATTTTGTCATTTTAAAAGTCGGAAATTATTATAAAGACTAAATATATATAATTCACACACTGAGCGACATGTTCGGAATAAGGTTTGTTAGATTAACGAACATCAATATAGGTAGTACAGTCAAACTTGAGAACTGGGTAAGAGAGAAAACTCTATAAGTGAGAATAATTTTCAGGTCTCGAACTTTGACCTCTCAAAAACCTTCAATAAGTGACAGTCGTTTTTCCCGCTCTGACCTTTATATTTGAGATCCTCTTTTGTATTTACCTCTATAAGCGACAATTTTCCTATGTATGACTCATTTTTTTTTCAGAAATATTTTCTTATAATTCTAAGAAATAATATTTAACTGTATTAACTTATTTGTCATGCTCACTGCAGTTCATAAATATCGTTTGCAACGAACAGTACAGCTCTTCCAACATTTTATAATGTCTAAACGAAAAAACAACTTGTTGTCGTTTTAGTGAGAAACCTCTATAAGCGAGAAAAAAATCATGGTCCCTTGAACACTCTCTTAACCAGGTTTGACTGTTTTTGGTAGTTGGGTATTTGTAGACTAAATTCACATATTTTCAGCATTAATTCATACGAGGTGTGTTCAAAGGAAATGGTGAATTTTTATGTACATTCGATGATCCATATTTTAGAAGCCAATTTCGATTAATAGTTTGTTTTTAACAAAAAAAAAGATTAGTCACGTTTTGGGGTGCTCTTCGATTTTTGAATGTCGGAAAAAATGGGGCAAAGATATGTAATAAATGTTCGTTAAAAATGAAATAAAGTGCTCCAAGGCAATTTGATTGTGGCATTCGGTGAGTCCACTTTGTTTCAAAAAAGTGTTTATAAGTGGTACAAGCGCATTACAGAACGCCAGGAAGATGTTGATTTAACAAGCGAAGAATACACCGAAACAGTGAAAAAAATTGTTTTTGAAAATCATCGAATAACTATTAGGGAAGTTGCAGAGATTGGGGTAATATTACATACTATTAACAGAATAAACTACTCCCTAAGTTTCTTTAAGGTACCTCACATATCATCACCAACATATGTTTAGTAAAGTTAACCGGATGTTTGATAATTCTGTGATTTGTTATATGAGAGCTAGGACAAGTTTTCACCCGATTTTACTTATTTTAAATATAAAAATGAAGCATTATAAGGAAACTACATTCACTTAATTTAATTGAAATAGCTTACATATTAGCCTAAATATGCGATATGAAGGAAACCGGAAGTTCCAAAATAATTCGATTCGCTACGGGAAGTATTGACCTGATTCAATACATTTTTGACATTCTTTTAGACTTGAGATGGTGTACTTCACAAGCAATATTTGTGCAAAGTCTTGTCCTTATATATTCTTTGGTGCTTGAATTGTATACTGGAAAGTGAAAGAATCATAAGGAATTTAAAATTGTGCTGAATAAGAAGTAGGCCTAGTTATAGTCTGATTTCGCTCATTTTCTCATTGTGAAATGGGATTGTTTAAATAATTTTATGTACCAAATTTCGTTGAAATTGATCAAGTAGTTCCGCAGATATATGATTTCACCTAAATGTAGGCGGTCCCACGCCCATTCTTCAATTTAGACAACGGTTCCTATAAAACCTCCTTGTGCAATCCCTGGTGGAAAATTTAATGTTTCTGACGCATTTAGTTATTGGTTTACAAAACCGTTATATAGTGAGTGGGTGGGGTTATCATCATTCAATTTCATTCATTTTCACACTATCGAAGGAATATTTATTCTGTGCAAATTTGGGTTATTAAGCTTGACTGGTTTAGGACAAATATACATTTAACTTACTAGGAGCCGAGGCCACGCCCACTTGTGAAAAAATTTTCAACCATATATGCCCTTCCTCAATATTATCTTTTGTACGAAATTACAGGTATATGAATATCTTACATATATATCTACAGCTTGCACGGAGGGACGGACAGACATCCGGATTTCAACTCGTCACGTCATCCTGATCATTTATGTATATAGTTATAATTAACTCTTTATCTATCTCGATTAGTTTTAGGTGATACGCACAACCGTTAGGTGAAAAAAGCTATTATGCAAGAGTATAAAAATAAGAATTTCATAAATTCAAAAATTCACTTCAATCAATAATATTGACATTTTCATTATATTCTGTAATGTATTTTTAAACAAATACTCAAACAATAACAAAATTATAAAATAATTGTTAATCCATTTAATCCATTTCATTAAAGTACAGTAAACGCTATGGTTTTTGACACTCAATACATTGTGTAGAAACTTTTTTAGCCTTTGCGATAGTAGTATTTCTGTTGTAACTTTCGGTCAGTTTCTTATAAAAGCCAACACAACTTTTACGCACAATTTTCCAATCACCTTTTCGAGGAATCTAGTTGAGTTCGTGAGATGCCCTTGCCTTTTTTGAAGTAGTAGGCTCTTCCGTTAAGGCATTTAAAAATGTTGTAATTGATTTTGTAAAGTGCTGTAACTTAATTTGTTTCTTTGAATAAAATTGGTTATGCAAAACCTATATATTTAGAATGGCAATACTGATGCATTCAAACAATACTTTGCGATACCATTTCACACTTTTACTCGGTTTTAATCTAATATAATATTATGACTGGCTTTTTGATAACTTCTTCTTCGCGGTTTTTTCCCAGTTTCATGCCTATTTCAACCATGAAAAGTTGAAATCATTGTAATTCCTTTCTTGATATTTGATCACTCTAATTCTTATTGAATTCTGCTCTTTGCGAGAGAAAATCGATTGTAGCTCATGCCAAAATTGTGAAACAATGCATGATGAAATAGCTCATATTTTTTGTAAAATACTTCGGCATTGGGATATTTTATAAAACTTGTATGATCTATAAATTTCTTCATTTCGGTATTTGTGACAGAAGTCCATTCATGCAAAAAAGGAAAAGTTTAAAAAATGCGTTGACCATATGAGGTGCACGTAACATCTAAGTTGTAAATAGTTTATATATCGCTTTGTGCATCACATATGGTTCACGTAATATAAGCAAAAATATGATCGTGGACCTAAGGTGATTAAAAAATATTTATTATGTGGACAGAAAAAGGGTTAAGGATTAAAAAGAACCTTTTTGCAGTATAATGTGGAACATTATGTTACATGAGAAATCGGAAAATTTGTCCCACATATTTTATAGTGGTTTGCAAATTGCAGCTTGATTTGAATCTAAAATTCTTTAGCATCGAAGTCTTTTACAAAATAATTAGCAAATAAATTACTCTTACGGTATATTAACGCCTGAAAGTATGCTATATTGAGAAAATTTTAAATTCCATCTTATCTTAAATTGCAAGCAGAAGAGAAGCACGCGCCTAAACACAGCACAGGAAAATTGCTATTGCTTTTCGTAAGCAAAACACTCTTGTATGGCTAAATATGAATTATCATTGTGTGTGTGTGTGTATATCTTATTTATTTATAGAAAATTAAAAAAAAATTATATTTGAATGTGTTAATTAATACAAAATAACTTATATTACTCTGATTTGTATTTAATTGTATATAAATGTATCTTATAAAATACCGTTTTAAAATGTATCTTATAAATTACCGTTAGTTGTGCATTTAATAATAAGAATCAATTAAAATAAAAGTAAATACAAATTTTTTAATTTTCTTGTCTATAAAAAAAAAGAGCTGTATGTGTATACATCACATACATATATATACAGTAATATTTTAACACCAAAACCATTTGCTTATTGTTTTGTTTCTTTTATCAAAACGTTCCCCGCCGGCCGGCTGGATTTGCCCCGGGATCTTTTTATGAATGGACATTTGTGCTTTGCGCCATGTGAGACCGACAGCAGAGAATAAAAACTGCTATTGCGTGCGAGAGCGTAGCTCTCAAAGCTGTCATGTTACGCTTACACTTTCTACAAGACGAATGCGAGGAATAAACAAAACAACACACACACACATTTGCATTTGCATATAAGTAAGTGTGAGTTGAGATAATATATACATACTTACATGCCGGCATATATATAAACAGCGCTAATGAACGAATGGCAGGAAATGCTATCACTGTTTGAGGAGATTGTTGAGGTGTCGGATAATTAAAGCAATGAAATAGTGCGCTAAAAATTAAAAATTTTTGAAGACGCCACGATTTTTGATTTTTTTTGCATAAAGTGCTTAAATTTATTATTTATTGAATGAGAATTTTTCTTGGAAATGAATTTCCGATGTAGGGTAAACAGATTGTACAAAAAAAGTATATTCATATTAGAACATTTGAATAAAAGAAAATTTCAATGGTACAAACATAAATTACATATGTATATTCAGCCAATCATATAGTAGACTTTTTATAGCTAAAATTTTGTAACCTAATTTAAGCGTAAGTGTTTATGGTCCGGTCAAAATAGTCGTTCAGGGTTACATAATTTTACAGTAAGCTGATAGTTAGTGAATAATGATCATTATATTATCTATAAAAATGTACTTTTTTCCGTTTCTGAGATATAACGAGACTTCACTCTTATTTTTGTCCAATTTGAACGGAAAATATCGATATTAAAAAATTAATTTAATAAAAAAAATTTTAATATTCTCGCTTATCTCAATTACCACAAATAAATATTACGTTATCTTCCTACATACATACTCGTATGTACATACATACAACAAATAAAAGTAATGAAAGATTTATTCCACACACAAATACATCTATTTTTCTACAAACATACAAACATAAACAAACTATATGCAACACAAAGTCAAGACATCAAATGAAGCAACTCTTATCAGCAACATAATTTTTTATGCAGCAATATCAGCTTGACTTGTACCCTCTTCCTTTTCCTCATCCAGCCGAATATGCGTTGCGTGTTTCAGCAATGCAAGCGTGTGCGCTGTCCGTTGCAGTCATAAACAGCTGAGATTGCCGATAAGCATACCATATATGCTGCACGCACAAGCCGACACATTCACGCTCTCACACATAGAAAATAAACAATTCACAAGTACACACAAACGCGTACAAAACGATCGGCACGATCGTGCGGCCGTCGCCAATTGACTTCACGCCGAAGTCAGAAGGAAAAATTTTTTGAAATTTAAATTCAGTTGCTCGCGGAAGGGCCATCCAGACGGTTGGATAAATGGATCGGCTCCAATAAAAAAAGTGAAAAGTGAATAAAAAAAATAAGTGAAAAGTTAAAAATATTGTGCTGTAAAAAATATATAAAAAGTGAAATTGCATAAGAGCAAGTAAAGCAGGAAAACGAATTAAAGAGAGGACTTCCGCTTAGCGGTGCTTGTGTGTGTGTGTATTGGTGCAACCGTCTCACCAAAAGGATTAATTTAGCAACGACAATTAAACGATTATACACTGAACTGTAATATGGCGCAGCCACATTGGTGGCGTAGCGGCGGCAGCGTGGGTGTGGCACTTTTCTGTTCACTGCTCATCGCTTGCTGTGGCAGCCTGGTATTGGCCGAACTCACACCACCGTATTTCAATTTGGCTACAGGACGTCAGGTTTACGCGTCGGCCACATGTGGTGTGGGCACTGATGGACCGGAATTGTATTGTAAATTGGTGGGCGCTAATACGGAGAATGACCACATCGATTATTCGGTTATTCAAGGACAGGTAAGGATGAGCGGAAGAGAGAGAGAATGAATTGCTGTGATTTGTGTGATTTAACCTGTCGCATGTATTTGTAAATGTTTTAGTGTAGAATTTCAAGACCGGAAGTCGGTGTTAGTGATGTGTGGTAGAAATATAGTGTGTTATAAAAATATGTTTTGAATATAAAAAATTTTAAAAATATTAAAAAAAAAATTATTATTATACTGAATAAATATATAGAATCTTTCGAGCTGCAAAATTTTCAAATTCTTCTAAAATTACTTACTTAATTCTTAACGTGTACATACCACATTTACTTAGTTGTTATTTATCTTGATGAGCGCATTTGTGTATTGATTTAATTTTTTTATCTTACTTAGTTGATGCTGATCTAATGGCTAAGCAAATTAATTTTTGCGCTTTTGTTTGTCTAAGCCATTTGCTAGCAGTAAACAAATGTGCTCGAGTATATAAAAAGTTGAAAAAGTCGGAGAATAAATATCAAACACACATACTAGCAACATGTGTTGGATTCAAAAAATTTTTACAGGCTATTTTGATTCAAAATACAGAAGATTTTATGTATCTTGTGCACATCTGCTGGAAAAAATTTTTAGAGTTGAAGTGAAATTATAAATAGTAGATTGAAAAATAAAATATATAATTTTTTAATTTAAAATTTTAGAACTCAAAAAAGATATCGAATTATTTTTATGATTCAATAATTTTTTGGTTCAAGAAAATTCACACCTAGGGTTTTGAGACGAAAATCAGAAAAATACTAAAAACAATTTTGAGTTCGAAAATCAGGGCTTGGGATTAACAACTTCTTTATTTTCCGGCTTTTAAGATTATATTTTTTTTTAAATTTTTCATTTACACAATTATTTTTAATTAAGATTTTTGGATTACAAAATAAAAAAATATTTATTAATATTTTACTGAAATTATTTTTTATTACACTATTTGCAATCGTGGCTGTGAATGTATAAAGCTACCAACTTTCTATTTTAATAGCATTTTAGACAGAACCGTAACTCAGCTTTGTATAAATATGTAGAAGCCGTTTTATAAACACAAAAATATAGAACGCACATTGGATCCTCAGTTTCAAATTTCCTTTCTTCTACCACCATCTAGCCAACAGCTTCGTAAACGAAAAAAACGGTATAAGTACAAAAATACGAATTCAATATATTGTATCTATGATGCTGGCTGAGAGTCTCTGAATTCATACAAACTCTTTCAATAATATTTAACTTCATCGTCCATTTCAGGTTTGTGACTATTGTGATCCCAGTATACCCGAAAAGAATCACGCCGCCGAGTACGCTATTGATGGCACCGAGGCATGGTGGCAGAGTCCTCCACTCTCCCGTGGCATGAAATACAATGAAGTCAATCTGACTATCGATTTCGGACAGGTAAGTGCTTGAAGCATACATACAAAACATATATTGAAGATAAAGCATACGATGGCAACAACAAATCCCCAATATAGTAGAGAAGAGTAATGCAATGATAAAAAACCAAAAAATTTTGAATATTTTCTCAAATAGTGAGGAGAAAACAAAACATTTTGGTATTAATGCTGCTCATTTGAAATGCACAATCACGCACGCGACGAACTGACAAGCCTACGGTGAAAAAATAACAATAAAATCAACACAACAAATACAAGGCGTAGGGAATAAGAAAAGATGCATCCCTGATGGCGCATTGCAAGGCAGCAGCCAAAATATAAAAAGCCAGAGTAAGCTGCTTAAGAATGTGTAATATGTGGTGGCTAAACGTTGAGGCAGCTGATGGCAATGATTTATACATATGTATATACTTACATGTGTGTAGAGATCATGGGCTGTCCATATGTGCTATCCATGTGGCATGTAGCAAGTGCTACGCAACGGGTATAGTCGGGTCATAAAAAATAGTCCACTTTCGGGTTCTGCTTTGGGCTGACCTTTATTCATACCGACAAAAATACTTTTATATTGTTATTTACTTGATGATGTTTATCTCATTTTTTAACGTCAACGCCAGAAGACACGTTCTAAGGACCACAAGAAAGCAACAAAGCAAAGGCGAGTCAAAATAAATGCATTTTAAGCATAAACTTGTAGAAAATTTTAAAGTGTGAGTGGAGTAGGCAACTAAATGCTTAACGCTCGCCACAGACGCATCGAATTTCCGTTAACTTGTGCGCCGGTCCGCATATTTACCGGTCTGCTGTGGCCTGTTCTGCTCAGTGATTAAATGTCAGACTGTCACAAGATATGGAGTAACTTGATTTGAAGGTGCATCTTGAAGATATGAGGCACACAAACATACAGACATGTGTTTGTTTGTGTATTTTCCTGGTAAAAGGCAAGTGAAAACCTGCTGAGAAAGCAAAATTTTTGCAAAAAAGCTGTAATGAATGCGAAAAATGTCAGCACCACGTTTGCTTTCAGAAAATACTTTCAGTTTGGTGTTCACAAGTAGTTCTTTCTTGAGACCTTAAATAATTTTTACTAAATTTAAATTTTAAATTTTTACTAATTAGTAAAACCCTAAAACTTCAGTTCTAATCACATTTTTATTTTATTTTAAAATTTTAAAAATATTTGCTGCTTTAAGAAGAGAAGAAATGAATAAAAGGAATAAATTGCGAGTATTAATCGGACCACGAAACTATTATTTTGGAGCTACTGCTTCAAACTAACCTCTCTTCCCTATAACGTTTGCAGACAATGCAAATAGTCAAAATAATTTAATTAATATGTTATTTTTAGTATTCCCATAATGAAATAAAAATTATTCCACTTTATGTTTTTCCTACAGGGCTCTAACAGTTAACTAATGTACCCACTGGCACTTTCTGTTTTGCGTTGTGTTAAAGCATTGTGTATGCCGCATTTTAATCTGTCCTATTTACTCTTCCTACTCACACAAATGTGATGTTTAAATGAAGTCTTATAAGTTTTCTTAAGTCGAGTGATTTCAGTCGAAGGAAGTGCCAGTTGATAAGCAATAAAATACAATATTTTAACTTTCAAACTCACATACATTTATACTAGTGTGTATGATTGTGCGTCTCTATAGTAGCATGATTTGAACACATTTTAGGCATTTAGACAATTCTTATCAGCTGGTTCTTGTTTCAGAAGAGGTCAATAGTTTACAACAAATCTTCAGATTTGATTTGGATTAGAATAAAGCAGTTTAGTTTATTCAATATGACATAATTAGAGGAACCAATTTAATGTTGAATTTCTTTCAAGTATTTTTTATAGCCGTTAAGGTATTTGTCCTGATAGAACTGTCAGTCAGCACCAAATGAAAGTTTGTCCACGCTTTCTGGCAAATTTGTTTTTAAAAAATCAATATATGCATTTTGATCCATTATCTCTTCAATAAAAAGCAACGCCCCGGGTCCAGCAGCTAAAAATGAGCTTCATATCATAATTAATGTTCCGCCATGTTTGACAGTTGGCTTCAGGTTTCTCAGTTCTAGCTCCTCATTTGGCTTGCTCCAAAGATATGGTTTTCCAACCGACCTAAAAACGTTAAATTTACTTTCGGCAGTAAACGAAACGCTTTTCAAAAATTAAAAATCTTTACTTTCGAGCTCTTTTGCAAACGTTAGCCTGATACTTTGATTTCGTTTGTTATCCAAAGGTTTTGGTCGAGCTTTTCCACCATTTAAATTCACCTCATGAAGTACATTTCTTGTCGTTGACGCACTGGACTTTTTTCCCAACTTCATATTTTCAGCTATGATCGCTAACTTTGGAGCACTTAGAAATGGATTTTTTTTTTACTTTTCGCACCAAATAGGGGTTGTCTGTTTCAGAAAAGATTGGTTGAAATATTTTTTACGAAGAAAAGTTTATAAACGGTTTTCGAGTTTGATTTGGAGCTAGTGTACATATATATATATATTATTTCCATTAGTAGCCACTCTTATCGCCGGAAATGGTGTATGTAGCACAATGTTGTGCTTCATTGGCATTACAACATTAATCTGTATATACCCTGCATTGAAATACAAGCTAATCAGAAAAGATACAAGTTTACAACTATAATGTTCGCGCTAAAATTGAACTAGTCAGACAAGCATGAAGCTTCGGGCAATATTTTGGGAATTTGGTTATAATTAATATTCTTTCAATAAAAACACTTAAGTTCTAAACAAATGTGGGTAAATCTTCAAGTACTTTGAATATTGCAGCCTGTAGCCGAATATATGACCGGGTCGGTTTCCGTTACCTAGATGCGACTGTCATGGGAATGGAGCTTAAATTATTCTGCAGACAAAACCTCTTTTCTCGATTTGGATATCCCACAAAGGGGATTCGAAAAAAATAAACTTATTTGCATTGCACACCACAGCTGACCATTTTATTCTATCTACTGAAAATAATCAATACATTTTATATATTGTGCATCTTCAATACATCCCGAAAGTTCACCACTAACTCATCCGAATGATTTTCACACACATGTGATTTTGCTTTTTGTTTAAAAAATGGGGAATAACGGATATCCCTTCTAAAGCACTTTTTTAAGTACACAAATACATATATAAATATACACATTTATGCAATTTATGTATGTATGTATGTATTCAGATTTAAACAAGCATTTATAATTGCTATTTATGGTGTTGCTCTCATAAACATCAACATGTGAACAAATATACATACGCAAATCTACATTATATTACATAAATATATGACCATGAGTTTGTCCGTTATCGTGGAGTCTTGCGAGCCTTGGCCACTGTCGCCAGGCAAAATTAATTAAATATTATATGTAAGTGTATATGTAGGATGTGTGTATTTTGATCAAACGCCTTAAACTTCAAAATAAAATTATTGTACGTGTGTTATACCATATATATACTATGAAACAAAACTTCATCGCAGCTCAATTTTAATTTTTTTTCTGCTATAAAAATGGGCAGAAGTCAAACCTAAAATTGTAATAACAATTAGATATGTTCTCAAGCCATTTGGCCAAAAACCCGGAAGAAGTCAAATTCTGACCAGAACTGATGAAAAATTAACGATTTTGACATTTTTAAGACAATTATTTTCTTTATAAAATAGAGTCGTGTTGTTACAATTGTTCTTCCATCCTCTATTTTTTATGGTCTCAATCTAATCTGGTCCATGTGCCGTATATTTCAGTTTTGGGTATAAGAAAAAGTCATAAGAAGACAAATCTGACGAAGAAGCAGATTCAGTCAGAATTTTTGTTTCAGACTTTGTTGTTTTTTCATCGTAAGTTTGCCTAATGAACGCGCAAGAGCTAACATATTAAGTTTCATAGTGTAAATTTAAAAAATCATACATATACCCAGTAAGAAATTCATAGCACTTACGCAAATTCGAACTTCATTTTGAGAACTCCAGATAGCAACACTTACTAACTGAAAGTATTCAGTACCTAAGTTCTTGTTTAAGGAAAAATAAAAGTGTTAGGTATACGCTTCAACTCTTCTCAACATACGAGAAAAAATAGAAGTAATATATATATATAATATAGACTCAACACTGATCATGTGGCATGCCACAGACGCGTTAATTTGCAACAAGATAGCTGAATGAATGATATAAAATAATTTTTAACGCCAACACAAGCAGTTATTAGCATTGAAGTGCGGAAACTCACACACACATACACGCGCACACTCGTTAGTAAAAATATGTTCTCAAATGTATGTATGTGTGTTGGCTACACATCCGTCAAAGGCTTGCAGCAGCGCTTATCTCATGCAACAGACTAAATGCATATCTTTATAGCTCATTTTAATTGCTGCAAACATGGAAAAATTAAAACGCTCAGCTCAATTGCCTGAGAGCGCGTTTATTTTTGGATTTTGTTTAAATTTTTGTTTTTGTTAATTTTTTTAATTTTTGTTCACTAATCGACACTTTTTTGCAATCGGATTTGTCGAATATGCTTGCAAAGCATTTGAATGCCTTTCGGCATTAAAATTGCTTTCCGCAACAAGTTCGAATGGAATACACGTATTTACATATCTGCAGTTAATATAACATAGATGTTTGTGTATATATTTATGTTTTACAAAGTGTAAGTATAAGTACATTTGTATGAATGTTATGCTGATTGCTCAAGCCTCATATAATTCTCAAAATTTGCTTACTTTTCATTTAAATTTGTATGTGTTTATGTATCTATGATATAAAGGGTGCTTTTTGAGATGCAATAGAAATTTCTTTGACTAAAGTTAGTTATTAAAATAGCTAATACTGATGGTTGTAATGTAGCATTTGAAGTGCCCCTCAGTCATATTTTGCTGCCAAAGCCGAATGGTATATATTAATAATTTAAAACAATTTTATGTTTCGAATTAATTTTATTTTGTCTTTCAATTTTTTCCCTTACATTTTGCTAATTTTCGAAATGTATTTAAATAAACGCTTCATTATGGAAAACAAATAAATCTCTAAATAGCATTACCATGTGATAAAAATTATGAAATCCATGGTTTTTGTTTTTGTTGGAACATATTTCTTACCTAAGCAATAAAAACGACTAAATATTAATGGCATAATAAAATACAATACATATGTACGACTTTAACTGAGAATTAACAAAAAACAAATTTTTAATCTAATAGCCTAAATACACACCCTTTAGCTGCAATTTTTATTAGCTTCTTATTCATATTCTATGTTATTATTGTTTTTGGCGCTGAACGGCTGGATCGCTGTTGCTTAGCGTCACTGTTCGACTGGAGTGTGCCAGTGATCTCATCGTTCTCAGCATTTTCTAATTCTTATTTCATTGCGCCGTCAAGCTTTGGCAGCTAAAATAAAATTGTATGCGTACAGCAGACAATTATTTGTTGATTGAAATGAATTGTGTGTGAAGTTTGAGTGCGTTAAGCTTATTTGGCGCTACAAATAATAAATATACACACCGCAAGAAATATTTCGAAAAATCTGTAGAATATTTGGATACCTTGTATGCATATATACAATGTACTTATGTATAATTAGCATGAATATATGTGGATGGAGGTATTTATACGTGACTGCAATGCAAATGATATATTTGCATAAATTGAAATGAAGTCATTGCAGTTTTCTAGTTCAAGGTACATACATATCTATATGTATATAAGTTCAGTCTAAATATTCCTAAAGCTTTATAGTATTCATAGTGGGCCTACTGGTAACTCGATCACAATTCAGCTTATTATTTAGTCAGTTTTAGATAGCATAAGACAACTCAACATCTCTGTATCTCAAAGAGTATTAATATTATCGATTTGGTGCCAAAGACTTTTTTGTAGGAAATTAAATTTACAATTTTTCTGTAGCTAGTGTTGTTTACGAGATAATTCCAAAAAAAACGCGAATTTCATGGAAAAATTAGGTTTGGGGGCCCGTACTACCCCGCAGGTGCAAGTTATAACTTTACCGCAATGGAGACTTTTGTAGAGCGTTCAATTCTGAGGAATACCTAATGACGGGTGAGATAATCCCATCAACTGCCGCTGAGTTATAAAATTAAAAAGAAAAAAAAATCAAGTTTTACGTGTATTTTATATGGGAAATCTTTACAGGCCTAGGTCTAGTACTTAATATTAAATTAAAGTCCCAAATTTTTAGGGAACTTTTTTTTGGTATTTCCAACCAAATTACACCATGGGATCGAAAAAAAAATAGTTCAACAAAAAAAAAAGCGGTCTAATGTACATATGTCTCTGCATTTCTCTTTCTCTATATTTTTAGTTCAGAATTATATACTTACACTTAGTTGACAATCTTTGTCTTGGCTTGTTTTGTCGACTCACTCTAAAAGCCATTACACGATTAACTGTTACTGGATTTATTTACACGTGTATATACATATGTATGCATATAAATATGTATGTAATATATCTAAACCAAATTATTTATCTCATGCAAATATCGAGAATTAGGCTACTTGATCATGCATTCCATGTTGGAGATGCTAATACGAGTATTCTATTTGTATATTTCCATGAATTTACTAGTCATGCAGACTGTTCGTAGTTTTTGGCAAAATTCGATTTTATTATTCACCATATGTGTAACGAAAGGCCCGTATATATTATAGCGATCCTCCGCGATTTTTTCCGATAACACTTCCGCAGTCTGAAATGTCTTTTGCTTTAGAGTTTCGCTGGTCACCTTTACAGTGTTCCAATTTCTTCACATAGAGCAATCTCTTCAGTTCTGAGATTAGTAAAAAGTTCTGTGCATAACAATCTATTATCAGTTGAAACAAATGCATTTTTATTGTTAGAGTCAGTAACTAGTTACGTACTGGAACTCTTTAAGTGAAATTAGAACAATGATTGATTCGTGATTTTTATTAATCAGTTGATAAGTTATAGGTTATGGTTGACTGCTTTGCAAATTAATTTAGTCAGTTTAAATGGTGGATTTTTATTTGCCCATGAAATTCATCTGATATAGGTGAATTTCTCCGAAAACACAACAATTAGGATGGATGGTATCTTTTCAAGAAGTGGGTTTAAAATCTTGGTATTTTATTCTCGTCGGAATTTCTTTTTAAAAACTCTTCTAAGTACTGGTTAATTATGCATTTAATAAGTTTGAAAGCTGGTGATCGAACGTAGCGCACAACAGTGCAACTGAAATAAATACGTGCGCCTAGAAGTATGCAATATGATTTGGAGATATAATTCAACTCTCTCTTGCTTTGTTGCAGCCGGATATGATCACGTTTACACACAGAAATGTTTTACTTATTTACCCTTTTATATAATATATTTACATACATAACATATATACCACATTTTATAAATTTCATTTTTCTTCGTCAACAGGAATTCCATGTCGCCTATCTTTTCATTCGTATGGGCAACTCGCCACGTCCTGGTCTATGGACATTGGAGAAGTCTACCGATTACGGTAAGACATGGTCACCATGGATGCATTTCTCCGACTCCGTGCACGATTGTATCACCTACTTCGGTAAGGACTCCTACAAGCCAATCACACGTGATGACGATGTCATCTGCTCAACTGAGTTTTCGCGTATTGTGCCACTGGAAAACGGTGAAATACCAGTCATGTTGCTCAATGATCGCCCCTCGGCTTCGAACTATTTCAATTCAACAGTGTTGCAAGAATGGACACGTGCAACAAATGTGCGCATACGCTTGCTACGTACGAAGAATTTACTTGGTCATTTGATGTCAGTAGCAAGACAGGATCCGACAGTTACGCGTCGTTACTTCTACTCCATCAAAGATATCTCGATTGGTGGCCGTTGTATGTGTAATGGTCACGCAGACACTTGCGATGTTAAAGACCCGAAAAGTCCAGTTCGTATATTGGCGTGTCGCTGCCAGCATCGCACTTGCGGCATACAGTGTAATGAATGTTGCCCGGGCTTCGAACAGAAGAAATGGCGCCAAAACACCAATGCACGTCCTTTCGAATGCGAACGTAAGTGCGATTGATTTTGAGGGAAAGCTAGTGATGACTTTGTATTTTTATTGTAGCTTGCAACTGCCACGGGCATACCCATGAATGCGATTACGACGAGGAGATCGATCGTAAAGGCTTATCACTGGATATTCACGGACGCTACGATGGTGGTGGCGTTTGTAAGAATTGTCAACACAATACGGAGGGCATTAATTGCAACAAATGTAAGGGCAAATTCTATCGTCCGTTCAACAAATTCTGGAACGAGACCGACGTCTGTCAACGTAAGTAGGGAAAATCATGATTTGACATACCCTTATATATTTGGGATCATATTTGCATTAAAAACCGTGAAATTGTAGCTTGCAATTGTGACGACGTTTACTATACCGGCCACTGTGAGGAGGGCACAGGTCGCTGCGAATGCCGTAAGGCGTTCCAACCACCAAACTGTGACTCCTGCGCTTATGGTTACTATGGCTATCCGAACTGTCGGGAGTGCGAGTGTAACTTGAATGGTACCGATGGCTATCACTGTGAGGCGATCAATGGAGAATGCCCGTGCAAGATCAATTTCGCTGGGCATTATTGTAAACAGTGCGCTGAAGGTTTTTATGCCTTCCCGGAGTGTAAAGGTACGGAACTCGTTTTATATAACACATATGTCAAACCTGCTTTATTTACTAATTTTGTGAATTGTTGTAAATTTTAGCTTGCCAATGCAACAAGATTGGCTCAATCAGTAACGACTGCGATGTGGAAAGTGGTCAGTGCAAATGTCTGAGCAGCTTTGGCGGAGAACGATGTGCGCATTGCAAGGACGGCTACTACAATTATCCCAAGTGTCAATGTGAGTATTGGATATTATACAAAGTCAATACATGGATATAATGAATAAGGCCTGGCGTAGGTAAAATTATTAATAGTACTGGAAGAGTCTTGTCTAGAAATTTATATAAGACACCCTATACTGAATTTAAGTTATTTTATGAGGATCTTGAAGAGTATGAGTAAATTATGTTTCGAGTATTTGTGATTGCAGCATTTTTACAACTAGAGCCACACATTTGGGTAATCTTTTAGGAAAGTATCGAAACTATTTTTGGATTTGCCATCACTTCCTTTTAGCTCAAGATTAGTATTGGACGTCTTACGTGTGATTCGTGAAAGATTTTTTCGAAATTTTTGAGCTAAAGGCAGAAAAGACTATACGAAATCCTTTCAACTAATGTGAGTTAGATATTTAGAAATTTCGTTCGTTTTAGTATATAAAAACAAAAAAAAAAGTAGTAGGGTGTCGTGAGACCACAGAACGAGTTCAAGATAATTATGTTGATATAAGCGAATATGAGCTATTCTTTGAAGCTAATGTGAGAGATAATCTAGACCAGGTTTTGAAAGAAAATCTTCCGCAAAAAAGTGAAGACTACTTTAAATTTAGTATTCTATTTGGATGTCCTTAATTTTGTTACCGCCTTACCTAGATTGCGATTGCGACATACAAGGCACACAAGCGGAAATCTGTAACAAAGAGTCAGGTCAATGTATTTGCCGAGAAGGATTTGGCGGACCACGTTGTGACATGTGTCTTCCTGGCTTCTATGACTATCCAGCTTGCAAGCCATGCAACTGCTCTACACAAGGCAGCATGGCTATCACCTGTGACAATACAGGCAAATGTAACTGTCTACCCAACTTTGCCGGCAAACAATGTACGCTCTGCAGCGCCGGTTACTACAGTTATTCGGAGTGCTTACGTAAGTATTTTTGGAGCGCGCACTTTAAACAACTTGGTATATAAATAATTTATAACTTATTCGCTTACAGCTTGCAATTGCGATGTGCACGGTTCGGAGGGGGTCACCTGTAATTCGGACGGACAATGTTCGTGTTACCCGAACTTTGGCGGTAAACTGTGCGACTCCTGCAAAGAGGGTTTCTACAACTTCCCCAATTGTGAGGATTGCAATTGTGATCCGGCTGGTGTTATTGACAAGTTTGCTGGCTGTGGTTCGGTGCCGGTCGGTGAGTTGTGTCAGTGTAAGGAACGCGTAACGGGCCGCATTTGTAATGAATGTAAGCCGCTATATTGGAACTTGAATATCAGCAATCCAGCTGGTTGTGAAGTGTGCGATTGTTGGATCGATGGTACGATTGCAGCATTGGATACTTGCTTCTCGAAGACGGGACAATGTACATGTAAGCCACATACACAAGGACGCACTTGCAGGGAATGTAAGGACGGTACTTATGATTTGGATGGCTCATCGCTGTTTGGTTGTAAGGACTGTAGCTGTGATGTCGGCGGTTCGGAGCATAGCGAGTGTGACAAGTCCTCAGGTCAATGTAAATGTCATCCACGTGTAACGGGACGTGGTTGCACACAACCACTGACAACACATTACTTCCCCACATTACATCAATTCCAATATGAATATGAGGATGGCGCACAACCATCGGGTGCGCAGGTACGCTATCAATACGACGAGAATGTGTTCCCCGGCTTCAGCAGCAAAGGTTATGCCGTTTTCAATGATATACAAAATGAAGTGCGTAATGAGTTTATGGTAAAGAAATCCTCGTTATATCGCATCGTTATACGTTATGTGAATCAAAATCCATTCAATGTTACGGCGAGCATACTTATACAATCGGAAAATCCACTCGAAGTAGACCAGAGGTGTGTACAGTCTTCAGAAGGTCTCGCCTCACATATATTAAATTTAAATTAACGATATATTTTAGTGTCAAAGTACTCTTGCGTCCAACGACGTCTCCGCAGTTCGTTACAGTCTCCGGTGTGAAAGGCAACAAACCCTCACCAGTCGTTTTGGATCCCGGCTCTCGTTACACCTTCACTACTAAAACGAACAAGAATGTCATGCTCGATTATTTCGTGCTGCTGCCAGCTGCTTACTATGAAGCTTCCATTTTAACACGCAAAATCACGAATCCCTGCGAATTGGGCAATATGGAGCTTTGCCGTCATTATAAATATGCTTCCGTTAATGAGTGAGTTAATTAAACTAATCGACCAAAATTATAATTGTTTATTTATGAAAATGAATTGTGTTTCAAAGCTTTCAACCATCCACAACACCATTTATTGCCGGCGCTTATGACAAACCCAACATACCTACCGAAGTTTACGACAATTCTGAACATTTGGCCATTATCGGCCATGTTGGTGATATACCTGTCATCAGCGGCACACAGCGTCAATTGAACTACATGGTCGATGTACCGCACAGTGGCCGTTACATATTTGTTATCGATTATGTCAGTACGCGCGAGTTTCCCGAACCATATTTCATCAAGTTAAGCTTGGGTGAAAATGAAACAGATTATGGTACAACTACCTTGTATCCCTGCCTATATTCGATGGCCTGCCGCACGCCAATAATCGATGATTATAGTCGCGAGAAAGCATTCTATATCTCCAAGGGTGACCAAAAACCGGTCATTGTTACGGTAGGTTGCAAAATTTAATAAAACTTTTTATGAAAATTTAAATATAATAATAACTTAACCCTACTCAATTTTCCCTCCAGAGTGACTATGATGATATTGGACGCGTTGCAATAATATCTGTTACCGCTATTCCAGTCGATAAGTGGTCCATAGATTACATCGAACCCAGTCCGGTTTGTGTTACACACAATAATCAATGTGCCGCACCGAAATTCCGTTCCGTGCCCGATTCGAAAAAAATTGAATTCGAAACTGATCATGAAGATCGCATTGCCGAAAATAAACCCCCATATGCCGCGCTGGATGAACGTGTTAAACTGGTATATTTGGATAATAAGGAAGATACGAGCACAATAGTTATTGAGTGAGTAGATAATACTATATACATATTAATAAGATTTCGGAAAAATACTTGGAGTGGAGAAAAAGGCGGTATGGTAGATCTATCTATGAAAACGAGATTTGCTTAACCAGAGAATGTTTAACTGATATATTGAAAATCGCTATAATCATTAAATTAAATCTCTATATCATTTAATTAAAGCTCAATTTGTTAAAGTCTTCAAAAGAGAGTAAAGCTAAGCTCAAACTGTCAAATATTATATATGGTTACTATAATTCATCGAAAAATATAAAAGTATCGGTAAGAGAATATACTTTTTCAATAGTTTCTTTCTAGTCTCCAAACTCACCATTACCCGTTCTACAGTACCAGTAACTCTAAGTTTTTCTCATCTTGTTACATTAAAACTTTATTTATTCGTAGGTCGAAGGTAGGCGAACCTGGCCGCTACGTCATTTTGGTTAAATACTATCAGCCGCATCATCCCAAATACAACGTACTCTACACACTGACCACTGCCAAAAATCAATACAGCGGTAAATTCGATATTAGCCATTGCCCATCCAGTTCAGGCTGTCGTGGTGTTATACATCCTACCGGTGAAGATTGGTGGTTCGATATTGAAGATGACTTTAAATTTACGTTAACGGTACGTAATTTAAATTTTCCAATATATATATATATAGTGATATTTTCTCTCCTGTAGAACACACGCCCACAAGGAGTCTGGCTGGACTATTTAGTAATCGTGCCAATAAATCAGTATAATGAAGATCTGCTCGTGGAAGAATTATTTGACCAGACCAAGGAGTTCATTAAGGAGTGTGGCCAAGATCATTTCCACATCACACACAACGCATCAGAGTTCTGTAAGAAGGCCGTATTTTCCTTGACAGCCGAGCACAATATTGGCGCTTTACCTTGCAACTGTGACTACGAAGGTTCTATCAGCTTTGAGTGTCATCCTTTCGGCGGTCAATGTCAGTGCAAAGCAAATGTTATCGGCCGGCAATGTAATGCTTGTCGTACCGGTTTCTATGGCTTCCCTGAATGTAAGCCTTGTGACTGTCCCAGCACTGCAATGTGCGAACCGAACACGGGCGAATGCGTTTGCCCGCCGAATGTGATGGGTGAGATGTGTGAAAAGTGCGTGCCCAATACATATGGTTTCCATCAGATAATCGGTTGTGAAGATTGTAATTGCAATTATTTGGGTATTGCTAATGGTAATCAACAGTGTGACATGTTCAATGGTTCCTGCGAGTGTCGTCAACATATTGAGGGTCGTGCTTGTGATATGTGTTCGAATGGTTACTACGATTTTCCACGTTGTGATCATTGTACCTGCAATACGGCTGGAACTCTGGCGGAAATTTGCGATAAAGTCGATGGCAGCTGTTTTTGTAAGAGTAACGTTGTGGGCCGCGACTGTGAGCAGTGTCAAGAGGGCACATACAACTTGCAGGAAAGCAATCCAGATGGTTGTACGTCTTGTTTCTGCTTTGGTCGAACGACACGTTGCGAGAGTGCCTATCTGCGTATTTACAATTTGAGCTTGCTGAAAAATATCACTTTGAATTCAGCGCACTTTGGTGAGAATACCATTGATTTCCAAATTTGGGATATACCACAAGAAGAGCTAATGGTGAATGAGACCACATTGAAGGCAGATTTCTCATTTCATGAAGTCAATGACGTAGAGGCTGAGGAAGTTGTCTATTTCGGCGTACTAGATTATCTAATGAATCAAAATAGTCACATCTCTGCTTATGGTGGGGAGCTCGCTTATTCGCTGTACTACACTACCGGCTTGTCGGGTAAACCATTGCTTGCACCCGATGTAGTTCTGTTGAGTAAGGATCATTTATTGGTACACCAGAGTTATGAACAACCTTCGAGCAATCAGGCATTCAGAAATCGTGTGCAAATGGTAGAGTCTAACTTCCAAACACACGATGGCAAACCTGTGACACGTGCTGACTTTATGATGGCTTTGCGTGATCTCAAGATGATCTTCATACGTGCCAATTACTGGGAGCAAACATTTATTTCATATTTATCCGATCCATATTTGACGCTGGCCGATGAGGATGAAGATAGTATCGGCGAATATCAATTATTGCCTGTAGAACGCTGTAACTGTCCACCCGGTTACACCGGTTTGTCCTGTGAAGATTGTGCGCCGGGCTATTATCGCGACTCTAACGGTCCTTATGGCGGTTACTGCATACCCTGCGAGTGTAACGGTCATGCACAAACATGTGATTGTGCAACGGGCATTTGCAAAGATTGTCAACATTCAACGACTGGTGAACACTGTGAGCTCTGTCAGGAGGGTTACTATGGTAATGCCACATATGGTTCACCACATGATTGCATGATTTGTGCATGTCCACTGCCTTATGAGAGCAATAACTTTGCAACCAGCTGTGAGATTTCCGAATCTGGTGATGAGATACATTGTGAGTGCAAACCGGGATATACAGGACCACGTTGTGAAGCATGTGCTAACGGTTACTATGGCGAACCTGAAAAGGCAGGCGATTACTGTAAACCTTGTGAATGTTCGGGTAATATCAACCCCGCCGAACCGGGTTCGTGTGATACTATAACCGGTGTGTGTCTACTTTGCTTGAATAATACTTCTGGCGTGGCATGCAACCTATGCAAACCTGGCTTTTATGGTGACGCGGTAAACTTGAAAAATTGCCAAAGCTGTGATTGCGAAGATTTGGGCACATTCGAGTGTGATCCCTATGAGGGTAAATGTCGTTGTCATGACAATGTGATCGGCGAGCGTTGTGACCAGTGTAAACCTGATCATTATGGCTATGACTCAGGACTAGGTTGTCGTGCTTGCGACTGTGGTGTATCTTCCAATTCAACACAGTGCGATGCACATACTGGAAAGTGTATTTGCAAGCCAGGTGTGACAGGTCGTCAATGCGATCACTGCGCTGTGGATCATTGGAATTATACAAACGAAGGTTGCCAACCTTGTCGTTGCAATCAGGGTTATTCGCGTGGCTTTGGCTGTAATCCGTTTACGGGTCAATGTGAATGTTTGCCAGGTGTTATCGGTGATCGTTGTGATGCTTGTCCAAATCGTTGGGTGCTCATTAAGGACGAAGGCTGCTTCCAGTGTGACTCCTGTCACGATGCTCTGTTGGATGTGACCGATCGACTACGCTACCAGATCGATCCAGTGGTGAAAGAGTTCCAATCAGTTGCGTTAGCCTTCTTCACTAGTCAAAAATTAAACTACTATGATGAATTGGCTGATAAAATTGCGCCAGAAGTGCAAAATCTGGACCCGAAACGCATCAATTTGGACCCGGCGCGCTCTTTGGTCGCTGAAATAGAATCAGGCGCAAAGACTTACGGTAAACAGGTGAACTTTAGTTTGAGCAATGCTTTAGAAAGTCGTCAAATTGCCAGCGAACTGATAGTGAATGCAACTGATTTGCGCGAAAAGGCTAAGGCGAGTGCTTTAGAGGCTCAAGATGCTATAAATTCAGTCGATGCGCTCTCAAAGAATCTAGAAACGGCAGCAAGTACAAAAATTGATGCCGCATTAGAGGAGGCTCAACGTATATTAAAAAATCTGAATGACACGAAAATTGATACTACACCCACTCAACAGATCTTGAACAAATCTAATGAGCTTTACACTGAGATTGATATACTTGTGGCGCCAATTAAGAATCAAAATGATGTACTGACTTTGCTGAAGGATGATATTGGGTATTTAAGCGATAAACTCGAAGACCTCTACTACTGGAGTGGTAATGCTACACAAAATGCAATCCAAGTGGATCGCTTGAACAATTTGAATAAAGCTGCTTTTGATAATTCCAAATTCGATACTGTTTCTGATCAACAAAAAGAAGCTGACACGCATATTGAGGAGGCTGGCAAATACTTTGTGAATATTGACTTGGCTCTAATTGATATCGACAAGAGAATCAATCAGCTCTCCAGTGTACTCTCCGATTTGAAGGATATTAACAAAAATGTTGAGGAAGATTTTCCAGAGATGGAAAAAGAGAATAGCGAGGTAACTGAACTGGCTGCACAGGCTATACGACGTGCTGATGAACTGAGCTCACACGCTCACGACCTCACTGATCAATACGCACAGATGACAGCTAATGCTGAGCCGGCAATAAAGGCGGCTACCGCTTACAGTGGCATTGTAGACGCAGTCTCTTCAGCACACCAATTTACGAAAGAAGCCAAACTCGCTGCCGGCAACGCCACGGAGATCACTGATGGCATCGAAGATCGTGCTGGGCGCGCTGGCAAGGACTCCGGTGAATTGTTACAAAATGCGCGTGGCGCCTTGAATAAAGTCCAAAGTGAGCTGGAGCCACGTTTGAATGTTTCCGCTGCGAAAGTAGAAAATATCTCGAATTTGAATAAGAAAACAGAAAAACGTCTGGAGGAGATAAATATTGCATTGCAACAGTTGCCAGTCGAAACACAACATGATCTATGGAACAATGCCAATCAGAATGCTACGGAAGCGCTGAACATAATTGAAGATGTGCTCGATATATTACGTCCTGTGGGTTTACAAAGCGAGAAGGAGTTGGAGAAGGCACGAAATATATCAAGAGACATCGATGCAACGACAAAAGATATCTCACAAGCGAGCTCGCAATTAGACACCGTCGAAGACACCATACCGCAGCTGAATAAATTAGCGCAAATTATCGAGCTAGAGCAGGCAAATGTCGAGGAGGTCGGCCAGTTGTTGGGTGAAGATATTGAGAACTTGAAACGACAAATTGAAACTGCACGCCAAATCGCCAATGCCATTAAAGTGGGCGTACGCTTCTCGCCAGGTACAGTTTTGGAACTGAAAACACCCGAAACCACGCCACTATTGGCAACCAAAACCAAAGCTTCAGCATACTTTAAGACCGAGAAACCCAACGGTTTCTTAATGTACTTGGGCAATCATAATAGAACCTCATCGGCTGGCAGTATACCCGCCAATAAAGACAACGAAGACTTCATGGCTGTAGAAATCGTAAATGGCTATCCAATCTTGACAATGGATGTGGGCAATGGACCTGAGCGTATTACAAATGAGAAATATGTTGCCGACGGCAATTGGTATCAGGCAATTGTGGATCGCACAGGATCAAATGCTAAACTAATAATACGCGAAGAATTGGAGAACGGCACCGTAGTTGAGCATAAGAAGGAACAACCATTGTTGGGCGCTAATAATGTGTTCAATGTTGATCGCAATAGTCGCTTGTTCGTTGGCGGTCTGCCACCACCAGCTGACTTTACGCCACCACATGACATACAGAGTAACGCCTTTGAGGGTGAAATCGAAGATCTGCGAATAGGCGATGAACATGCTGGCCTGTGGAACTTCGTTTTCGGTTTAGAGAACAACCAAGGCGCACAACCGCGTAATAAATTGTTAACCGAAGAGATACCACCAACGGGTTATCGTTTTAATGGCAATGGCTACGTTGCACTCAAAGCCTCGCCATATAATCTGCGCGCTCGTTCCAGCATACAATTCAGTTTCAAGGCTTCAAAGGACTCCAAAGACGGTTTGCTATTCTACTATGGACGCAATGATCAATTTATGTCGGTGGAGCTGGTGAACGGTTTAGTGTTCTTCCGTTATAAACTGGGCGATCACGTTATGTCGACGGGTACACAAGATCTATACAACGATGACAAATGGCATCGTGTCGTAGCCGAACGTGATGGCAGACGTGGTCAGTTGAAGGTAGACGACATGATGTTGGCACAAGAAGATATACCCACTGGTCCAACGGAATTCAATCCAATACCAAAACGTCTATTCTTTGGTGGTTTCCCCGGCAAACGTAATCATTCGGTTGTTACTGAACATAACTTTGATGGCTGCATTGATGAGGTGTCGATTTCGGGTACAAAGGTGGATCTGGGCAATAATGTGCATGCACATGGCGTTAAACCTGGCTGCCCGAAGAAATTCTCAACTGTGCTGGCATATCCCCCCAACGAATATGGTTTCTTGCGTAAAGCCAATGTCACGTCCAATAATAAGTTGAATGCTAATCTGAAGTTCAAGACCCGTCAACGCGATGCTCTGATCTTCTATGGTGCCAATCATGATCAGAGCGCGAATATAGGTCTCACACTGAACGATGGTTATTTAACCTTGCGTAGTATGGGCGCTGAAGTTGTGTCGGATATGAAACGGTTGAACGATGGTGAGGAACATGTGGTAACCGTGCAGCATGACGGCGATCAATTGCGTTTATCCATAGATGATACGGAAGATAAGCGGTAAGTACTGTTAAGAAAACAACAAACAAGTGATATACCTCTCTATTTTCAAACCATACCTAATACTTTTTTGTGGCTTTCCTTTTCAGTTTACCCTACACACCGGAAGCCTTAAATATACAAGCAGGTGATATATTCTTTGCTGGATTACCAGATAATTATAGACCAGTGCGAAATGCACTGCCTACCATGGCGTACTTTGTGGGCTGCATTAGTGATGTGACCATCAACGGTGAGATAGTCAATTTCGCCGACAGCGCTGAGAAACGCAAAGGCAATATCAATAATTGTCCAACAGACATTTTAGGTAACATTTTTGCTTATTATATAACCTTCAAAGAAAACTAATATTTGCTTCGTACAGCTTATGATGTTGGGGCAATACCATTGTTCTTCCCAGAAGGTGCGAATGAGCTATTGCCTGAGCCAGAGTACCCAGGTAACTTTGCAGTACCGTTGGCGCCTACGAAAGCGCCTATTACTACGACAACGACATCTCGTCCAGTTGTAGTGGTTACAACAACAAGCACTACGATAAAATCAACGAAAGAACCGCCTACGCAAAGTCCGCCGATTATTGCGACACGAGAAGAAGAACTGGAACAAGAGCGACAGCGAGAACGGGAGAGAGAGCAAGAGCGTGAACGAGAAAGAGAACGGGAACGGGAGCGCGAACGAGAAAGAGAAAGGGAACAAGAAGAAAAGATGAAGCCAATACCAGAACCTGAATCCGAACCCGAATCGAAACCAGAAGAACCGTTGCAACCTTTAGGTCCATTGCATCCATTGCCACCACAAAATGTGCCAGAAGATCCACGTTGCAAGCTCCCCACAAATCCAAACTTCGATGTCGATTACGATGATGCTGGCTACCGTTATTATGCATTGCGTGAGCAGCGTCTGGAAATATCACCGCCAACGAAGCTCCGGAAACAATACGATATTAGTCTGAATTTCAAGACTGCCTACCCCGTCGGTTTACTCTTCTATGCGGGCATTAAACAGCAACCCGACTATATAGCAATTTATCTGTGGGAGGGTAAATTGCATCATCAAGTGCAAATTGGAGGACAGGTGGCGAATGTCACCAGCAAAGCGGAAGTGAGCGACAATGAATGGCATAACGTTAAGGTGACACGCAAACACCATACTATAAGCCTCTTCATCGATCAAATTGAAGTAGATTCAATTACTGAAACGGTGGAGGATAATTATGAGTTGAATGTGCGAAACATGGCACTCTTCCTTGGCGGTGTGCCAAAACTCTGGGAGGCTGAAGTTTTCGACAGAATCGATTATGTTGTAGAAGATCAACCCTTCTATAATGGTTGTCTGAAAGAACTGCGGCTCAATGATGTGAATCTGAAAAAAGAACCGGAAGCATACCATACAGTGCCCTGTTCAACAGAAGTCGAACAAGGTTTCTTCTTTAGCAAACAGGCGAGCTACGTGAAGCTTTTCGAACGTTTCACCGTCGGCACTGATTTCAATATCAATTTCGATATCCGTCCACGCGAGCCGGACGGTTTGCTCTTCTCTGTGCATGGCAAAAATGCATATATGATCCTGGAGTTGATCGACAATAGTCTAGTGTTCACCGTGAAATCCGACTCGAAAAATATTGTCACTACCAATTATACGCTACCCGATAACGGTAGTTATTGTGATGGTAAGTGGCGTAATGTGCAAGCGGTGAAATCCAAATTCGTCATTACGATTTCGGTGGATTACATCAGCACAAATCCGGGTGTTGGCTCAGAGGGTTCGACGCTGACGAAGACAAATCGTCCGCTCTTCTTGGGCGGTCATATTGCTTTCAATAAGGCGCCAGGCTTGAAGACGAAGAAAACTTTCAAGGGTTGCATACGCAATGTTCAAGTGAACAGGAAGGCGGTGCGCATTACACCGAAAATGATACATGGCGACATCTGGCAAGGCGCTTGCCCTATTAATTAGTCATGTTATTTCTTATACTAATAACAAAAACAATAAAGCAAAAACGAACAAAAATGTTGACGACCGAAAGTTGCTGTATTCCCACGAGCCTCAAACCTCAGTGGTTTGTGAGATGTCTTACAGTAAACTCGTTTTTATTTTGACTCTTCTGTTTTATGATTTCTTCATTTTCTTTTACATTTAAATCTTTACTTTCACATAATCTATTACTCTCCTTGCAGTCTATTTTTTCTTATGCTAGCGCCTGTTTTATAAAGAACAAGGTCTGGTGTATTCTTAATCTTATTTTTTAAACTTATCTAATCAATGTGTTCTTGCTTTTTATGTAAATTCGATAAATAATTTTTAATAAAGTTTCATATTTGTATACGCAAAAGCTGTATAGTGTGCTTTAACTTGGAAAATGTGTTTCTAGCTTTTGCCTGCAGGTAAAATATTTTTAATGGTATACCTAAATCTATATATGTGTAGAAGTATGTAATTACGCTAACAAAAAAGTTTGTGGTCCATTTTTGAATGTGTTGGAAAGAAGAAGACAGAAGTGCACAACGCCTTGACTTTATATCACATATATCAGCCAATATGTAAGTTATCTTAATAAAAATGAGAGAGGGTATCTTCCTAATAACAGTGTATCTCTCTGCCTAAAATAATTAGAATCGGGGAAAACTTGCCTTAGCCCCCATATAACTAATCACAGAGTTTTCAAACATCCGCTTGATTTTACGCCTGTTGGCGACGGTATGCTAGGTATTTAAATGAAACTCAGAGAGCAATTTATTCTGTCAAGAGTATGTTGTATTGCCAAAAGTATATAAAATTGGCTCAATACTACCATAATCTCTCATATACTTAACATAAGATTTTCAAACTTCCGATTAAACGATAATGTTAATGTTAATGCCCGTAGAGTATGTTACCATAAACAGAACTTATGAATTCATTAACATTCTCTGTTAGTACTCAAAAATATTTTATTTAACATTTGCGCCTTTTCTATTCATTAAAATTATCTGCTAAAAGTATGCGGTAAAATAAAATTCAACCAGAAAATGATAACAATTTATTAATAATTTATTAACATTATCTGGCCCAACCATAATAAACATACTGCAAATGCAACATCATACGTTAATAAGAGAATGCAAAAATTTATGTTTTTGACATTTTAATTATTCTTCCTTCGAAGACTTTTCATCATCATTATTATTCTTCAATTCGTCATGACAAATGAAAGCTTTAAGTGCCGTCTCAACAAAAAAGCAAATAACATAAGAAAATATGCACAGAAAAAATATTTCAACCGAATCATAAGCAATATTTTTATACTTCTCGCGGTCTTCCTCATAGGTCTCCAAAGTCGTCGTGCCCATGTAACAGGTGACAATGCAAATGGTCATGGCTAATTTGACAGTCCAAATACAAGTACGTTCAAACCGATTCAAGGGCATTTCACCATATTTCCACGGGCCAATGAGAGCCTGGAATAAATACCATTGAATGAAGAGGCTCTCGAGCGTATTACGAAAGGTGCGTTTGAAGGACTGCGAGCCTTCACGAAAATTTATTGCGTCCAAAACTAAGGGTTTCGTTGTTATCCAATGTTCGACTTCAAAGGTGCACATTACCTCATTGGCATAATCCTCAATGACGATATTGCGGCAATACCAGCTGGGGTAACGACCCGATTTATCACGACGTATGCTCACCAGCAGCGGCTGCACTAAATCGTCACCGCTTAGCGGTAAACGGAGCGTGCAAGTAGAGTTGCGCACGAGATGTGGATTCTGCGGATTCTGATACACAACAAATTTGCGTGTGCCTTGAGGCAAAGCGAACATTAGGATGATATTGGCAGTGGTGCCAGCATGCCAATGACCACCGGTGCTTATGTGCACATTGATGCCATATTCTATGTCACACTCTTCCTGATCGAGTAAAGTGATTAAGTCTCCCTTGTGATGATGCAATGTGTAGTAAGCCCACCAGAAGAGTGCGGCGAAAAGTGGCAAGAGCGCTAGGAAAAACAATACCATATAACCGTTGATGGGCAGATGTGTCAGCACTTTGCGGGGGCTATTAGTTTCCATAGCGGCTTGTGTATGCTTTTTACCCGCAAACGTCGACAAATGATAGCAATTGCAAGTCAAAATCGCTGTATCGGTTAAATTCAATTTGGGCATACAACCAGCGGTCGACCATTCGGGATCACGCAATTTGAAGTCCCACATGAGACATTTCAGCATGGTGGTTTCGAATTTAAATGTTTTTGGTGAAGAGATTTCATCTGCTGCCATTACAGCGAGGTAAGCCCAGACATTACCGCCCTTATTGTTCACCACATGAAATGTATTCTTCTCCGGCACGATCTCTGTGGAATTTCGCACTTGATTGCTTCGCGGCTTTGTGCACAACTTTAATTTAACACAAAGTCGTATTGTGGGATCGGAGAATTTGACAATTGCAGCACTGTTCTCCGGCATCTCAATGCTATAAATAGGCATATCTAGCGTGTCGTTAACATAGCCTTCCACTATATTGGTGCTTAGTGCCGGCATCGTAGTGCTTTCAGATAATATCATGCGAAATTCAATTGGATTTTCCAGTATTGTCTCCTCTCTCAAGGGATCGACGCTGCTGTATACGCTAAACGCGATTATGCCAGTGTCGAGCGGTTCCGTATCCGGATACCACCAAAACGGGTTTCGCTCAAAAGACACTACTTGAAAATGTAACTGTGCACTTTGCAATGTTTGTTCGAGTTCAGCGAGCATCGCTGAAGGCATTACTATTTCAATTTTACGATTTTCAGTTTCGAAATTCAACATCTTTGTACCCTCGATACTGAAAACGTCCACCTTAACACCCGGTTTGTCCAATTTATAATGATCATCAGTGGGCTCGTGCATCACTGTGCTCGTTATACCCACAAAATGTAGACAACGAAACACTTCAAATATAACATCCAACCAATGCTCAATGCGCGTAAGCACCGTCTCGTCGAAATCAGGCAGAGGCGCATAACTTTCATTTAAACGATTTGCCGAACCACTGCTTGCAGGTTCGATACGTACGATCGGTGGCATATCTTCAAGCTTAGCTGAGAATTCAGCAATCATGTCGACAACTTGATTGTTAAGTAATTCATAAGGTTCAGGTAGTAGCTCCTGGTACTCTCTGTCCACAATGATGAAGTAAAATCCATTTGCGATCATACGCAGGAATTTAGTGAAAATAGTGACGCGTTTATTGTCCAGCGGTTGTAGTGGTGCTAAGAAATTCCTAGTTATTTTTGTTAATTGCTCGACGCGGAGCAGTGTTTCCAACTCGAGCCACCTCAAATGATAGAATATGATCTCTGCCATTGCGAGCGTGCGCATGTTTCGTGTCAACACCTCTGTTAGCACCATTGCGCGCTCGATGTCGCCTTCCAGTAAGAGTTTGCCTATATTACTATCCGGTCGAACTAGAAACGACTTGAGTGATGCTTCATCTTGCGGCACTTGCATGGCGGACACGCTCACAGATACTTGTGTTTCGGTGCAAGCGAAAAGAAAGTCACAAACCACAATTTTAATGCTACTTGTTACTGGCAGTCTGGTATTCATTAGCCGTTCGTTGGTGCGATCGAATGTGAAGGTTTCTGCTATGTATTGATAAGAGATCGGCATATTAGGATCCTCAAAGTCCGTGCATTTTATATGAAACTCAGTCTCATATTCGACGCCATTATTGGGCTCAACCTTGCATTGTCCACCTTCAGGAGGTGCGTTGTGAGTCAGCTCTACTATAACTGTTCCGCTCATACCACCACTGGTTACTGATGCTTCAACTTTTACACTTCCGCTAGTTGGAGGCATAAAGCCGAGACGATGGGCGTTCTTAAGTATGCCGCTGCCGGCACTTACTTCCCATGTAATCGTGGGTTCAGCTGTACAAGTGACGCAGTGCATACGTAGATGCACCTTACGTCCGGCGGCAAAAGTACCCATTCCACAATTTCTTACACAAACGATGTATACATAATGTTTAGGCTCATTTGTAATTTTAATGATTTGTTTTGCTATATCTTGCTGCGTTAAGCTGATATAGGAGCTAACTTGAAAGCTAAATGTATAAGACTTGTCGACCTGAAGTACACCGTCTGGTATTTGAAGCATGCTGCCTAAAATAGCGGTAAAGAAGATGTACAAAATTTAAGAAAGAAGCTCTAAATTGGTCTGGTTAGTAATATAATACTTTCAGAGTCTTTATAAACGTACCTGATTGAAACATGAGCAGTTGCTGTAAAAGGGTCCTGAGAAAATTTAGATATCTTGTGATTGGGGTTAAGAGTCTTCGCTTGGGCATAAGCACCATTCCGGAGAGCAATAAATAAATATTAGTTATATGCGTTATGAGGTCCACAGGATAACCTAATCGCCATATCAGTATTGTGGTGGCCTGACTCTTTGTTAATGATAACCACATTTATCCTTCGTAGAGGCTAACTAAAGTGAAGGTCTTGGTCGTCAAACGAATTACGAAAACTCTTTCTTTTGACTTATTCGTATATCCCAAGGTCTACTTGAAAGTAACATTTTTTTATTGCTGAGGGTTTTGATACTCCAAGGGGTTTTAAGGAAATCTTGAAGCTAACTCATATGTCAATATAACATTCTTATGAGATCTGTCTAATAAGATTTGTTGTTTTGCTAAAGATTGTAAAAATCAATCCATTAAGATAATGGTGGGATTAGAAAACTATTTTCCTCATCGTTATAATGGTTTAAAGAATCTGTAGAATCAAGGTATCTTTCTTAATCTTTATTGTACTAAGATGCTAATGAGGGTTTGATTCCACGGCTTTGTTTTACTAGCTGCCATTATTATTCTATTCATCGTCTAATGCAGACGTAGGATTACCAACCTGTTCCCATATGTGGTCCACAGTAATTATTTGAACTGTCATCGCTCGAGGCGCAACTCCATTTGTACTTCATGGTTTGCTCAACTGAAGGCGAGAGCCCGAAATCACGACTCTTTGAGCCATCCAAGTGAAATGACTGACGAACGCCCACTTCACGTATGGTGCCACCTAAGATAAAAGCCGAAACTGGTTTGGACATAATGAAAATGTAACACTGTTAAACAAAAATAAATGTAATTGATAAAAAATTAAAAAACTAAGGCCAATAAAACTTACCCGAACTTTTTTATGCACTACCATGTCGTCGAAGTACTCATCAACATTTACACGTACCATATATGACTGTGCCACAGCGCCGTGATAGTTGAACCACAAGCGGTAAGGCTTAACCTTCAACTGTTTCTTGCCAGTATTGCCGAATTCATACAACAGAACTGAAAGCTACTGTAAAAATATTAAACTGATTT